GCAGACGTCGCTCCAGGGCGACAGGTATGGCAGCTGCCAAAGGAGGGAACGTCCCCAGGAGGGGACGTCCCTCGTGGAGATGGAGCGGTGACGTCAGCTCGCGGTGCAGGTGTCGGGTGGAATGTTACACCACGGGCCCATGGCAGTTGGGGGAGTTGGTGGCCTTCATCCAGCAGTGGACTGATCAAGGCCGACAATGATAATCGAAAAATCTAACCATTGAAAAGTGGTCCAGACTCGTGTGTGTGTGTGTGCGTGTCTGCGATTAGCACGCTGCGCGACGAACCCGGCCACCCATGTTCGATTCCCGCTCAGGGCCCACAGCAGTGTGGATTATCTGAACCGGTACACATTGACTCAGCCTCAAATGTGTGTGGTGTGTAAACATCGCCACAAGCGAGACAAAGGTGGCCGGGCGTAGTGCTGGCCACCCACCCCCTCGTGTGCTGGGCCGGCCTTCATAGGTGCTCGTTAACAGCACTTACCCCAAATGTCTAAGTCTATACGGGGCATTTTGTGTCTTTATCTGCCGGAACACACCACGCGTTGACCAAGTGCCGTGCGGTTTGAATTGTCGCTCATGCGAATCGGTCCATTTGTTTGACATTTAATTTTGGTTCCATTATGGGCTTGTCGACAACTCTGGAAAATGAGCATTACATGCTCATCATTGTAATAGTCTAGGTCTCTAGGAGTTAGGGTTACTTCAGACAGCTGTGTGGTGTGGGTACGATCATTTTTCAGATAACAATTCCCATACAATTAAACGGAGCTGATCAACTCTCCAGAGCTGCTAAGAGGGGTTTCCCCGCTTGCTGAACGGTGACGATCGTCCTGTGGAAAGAGCTTTCATGATTGCAGGGAATTTTATTAAAACACATTGTCTCAAAATCACATAGCTTTAAAAATCACGCAAAAAAATGATTTGCATGCACACATCTCGAATGTCAGACTCGGGTAGTTGGTCCTGCAATAATCTTGTGACAAGACTACGTAACAATCGCATATGTTGTCAACCAGACAGCCTCAACACTGCATTTTCATCGTATTGCCAAACAGCATTCCAATGTTTTCCAAAACAGGGTATATTTGGTCTAGATATTTCAGTATATGATCATTTTTTATGAACACTTTAGTAATATTAAATAGTGATTTGAAGCTTTCGTGACTGCAGGAATCCATACTCTTTGGTTCTTTCGGTAAAGTCACGTAGGTAGAAAATAAAATAAATCACGTTTCAGGCGCAACACAAGCGTCCATCATCAGGTCTGAAAGCATGATGGGCGCTTGTGTTGCGCCCGAAAAGTCGTGATTTATTTGATACCTACGTGACTTTAGCGAAAGAACCAAAGAGTATGAATATTAAATAGCTTCAAGTGAGCAATAATCCTCACGTAGGGCACATGTGACACGACCTGTGTCGTATCCGAGTTTTGTCTCGACAAGTCGGGATTCGCCCGATTTCAATGACAGTACTCAAGCTCCAGCAGTTGAATATGGGTAGATATTCTGGGCATAGTCTGAATTCCATGAACTGCATATTGGGGCAAAGATGTATCTCTCATTCACTCTGCGTGTGGCCAGTACACCCGATATGTGTATGGTTGCCAGTTTGTTTAACACGTGGCTTTCGCGACCAATAGCATACGGTTTTTTGGGGGGGTTAGATCGCGTAAATACAAATGTCGTTAAACCCACCACCCGAAACGTCGTACTCAGATTGTAAATGTGGATTTGCTCCCCAACACACCGGTGTGCTGTACTAGTAACGAATTGGCATATTCCGTTGACGTGAACAACCTTACTAAATTGGCTGTGTCGGATGGTGGCGGGTTTAACGACGCATTTATATTTACGTGACCTAACCCAAAAAAAAAACCTCTTATGGTTGCCCGTGTTTGTCATTGTTGAGCGACGGTTCACATTGAACCGTTGCGGTGTCACCGCCACTGATGATGATCGAGATGTCTACCCAAAAAGAACCATAAAAACAGGCAACAGTCAAACAGTTTACATTTTTATTTGCTTTTTTTTGTTGTTGTCGTCGTCGTTTTACTACAAATTATTTTCAGAAGAATGACGTCAAACCCAAACTAGCGATGAAAGGAAAACGTCGGAGGCTTAAAAAAAACAGAATTCTGACGCCGCAATTCAGGAAAGAAATAACTACTGTATTAGCAATTACAATGGGTTACAGACGATTCTCTGCAAGGTTTGTATGCACTAAAATACATGTTTAAATACAATAATTTAGAAATGGCATTTATACATAATTACACCCACAAAACTGTCAATTTTTCGGGTCATGTTATTCTTTTTAAAGTTGACAGATAAAACCACTGCATTAATGTTTAATTACTCGGTGAAACGTTTGCAAATGGTTTCGATCAATGTTACCCAACAGTTAAAATGGATTATTTAAAATCTTTTTTCATGGCATGTCTTTCTTTGGATTTGAAAGGTGGCTGACAAAATTGTAAAACGTGAAGAAAAAACCATAATTGATGCAAAAACGTTTTTGCGAAATGAAACGCTATTTTTTGTTGTTGTAAAACAATTGCATACGTGACAATCGTTTATACTGGGAATGGCATGCAAATTATTTGAGAAAAAAAAGCCAGTTCTGACGGTGCATGAGGCATAAATGACTAAAATTTAAAATATAAAACAGAATCCCCATTGAGTTTGCCTCTTCAGACGACGGCGCGTGTGTGGATGGGTTTCACAGCAGTAGGTAACAAGTCTTACGGCACACGGCTACTTACAGTTAAACAACTTCAACCAATTACACAAAGTTTAAAACATGATATTTTTTTCTCACTCATGACCAGCTTGGCAAATCCAAAGAACAACATCGTGCTAAAAAAAAAAAAACTACTATTAATGTACATTTGATATTTATAACAAAAGTAATTTTCGGTATAATGTGCGTCACACACATCACCAATAATATGGCAAGTGGTCCCTGTTCACCCAACCACGTAGCTGCTTAACATTAAGCGTACTCATACAAGCCTCTGTTGCACAGAAACGCACCAAAATATTGATGGTAAACATCAACAGTACAGTAGTTAGAATTTGTATGCTTGTAAGCAAACTACTGCGTGCACCGCGTAGTTCTATTCACTGCATTAAGACTGAATCGCCTCTCGCCATCTACGATGAAAGTCAGTGGTCGCGGCCCCAGCCACGGTTCCGTTTCTCCTTCCGCTAACGCAGCACAACCGCCGTCACGCACTGCAGTGGGGTAAACGCGCGCAACCCCTCAGCATTCATCGCGGAGTCGCTTTGCATTTTGGTTACACTTCTACTAAGGCTTCAAGTATTCTCGTTATGAGGAGCCGGACCCGCAGGAGACGTCACACGGCTGATGCACGAGCCCCCCCCCCCCACCGCCACAGCTCAAGGCCGCCCCGTGCACCGCTCGCCGCACAAGAAGCCTCGTTCACGCGGCGAGGGTCTCACGCGCGAGGAAGAGGAGGGGGCCGCGTGGCCCCCCCCCCCCAGCACCGCGCTCCCGTCACCTCCTCCCGCTGCACCACCGAAGCAGCGGTGACGGCAGCGGTGGCCCGTTAAGTGCGGCTGCACTAAACCGGGCGGCATGGAAATCCGGAAAATGCAAGGCAAACGATGCTCCCCCCCCCCCCCGCCGCCCTGCTCATGCACCGCTGTGAATCCATGTGCTTTGACACATCACGTACGCTTCCCACTCCACTTCAATATATTGTTTTCAACTCTTCCCCCTTTCCCCCCCCCGCCTCGCCCACCACAATTGATAAAAAGCCAAACAATGGTGTTCTGAAAAAACTAAAAATTATCATCAGATAACTCAAGTTCATCCCAGATTGTTCTTGTCAAGATATACATGGCTTGGGAGGTTTTTTTTTTTCACATTGTGTAACTGAATAACAATAAAACATCCTGCCATACATTTGGCAAATGTATACGGTTTGACCCTGTTGTTTGTAAAGTGAAAACAAGCCAAGAGTAACATTTAACATTCAGTAGGAGAAGCGTATTTTGTAATCCATGCAAGTCCCTCTGCTGTGGAGTCTGGAAAAAATGGTCATGGTTTACACACAGAGACAATACGACTGCTAGGCCACGTGTAGAGAACGAGGAAAATGAGGGCTCTGCTTCGCCAATTCTGGTCAAACAAGCACTGCGGCAGTGAGGTCTGCAGAATTAAGGAACCGTTATCGATGCAAATTAGTACTGGGAGAGACAACGTCACGGTCTTCTGAACGCACGTGAGCGGGCTGTATTTACAGTACACTATACATCAAATAAGACAATTAGGCTAACGAACTATATACAATGAATTTTGCACATACAAATCCTGCAACTAAAAAAATACATTCCTTTTAGTGCTGGTAAAGCTATCTCCCACTGCATGTGTCTTAGCTCAAACCGATTGATCTATTACACTGTAACACAAGCGCTTGAGATGTATACCGCCAATACAAATTCAAAGTTCGCGGGAAATGTGCATCTTGAGTAACTTTAGTAGGGAACAAGCGATACGCTGCGAATCGATCCGGCGTAAATTCTCGGCGACGGGCGAAGAACAGCCAACGCACGGGCAAGTCGATGTGGTGTCAATTTCCTCTAGTGGCGTCAAAACATAGCAGCAAAAAAAACACACGCACGCACGCAGCCGCAACAACCCACGCCGGACCGTACAAGGCGCGCAGTGGCGCAGCAACGTTTGGGTGGGCTCACAAGCAGAGCTGCGACGAGCTAAAAAGGGTAGCAAATTAATATCGCCAAAACGAGCACCTTCAATCCTGATAAGTGTGTAGAAATGACTGTGGGGGGCAAGGCCTGGCTGAGACTGCATGCTCGTTTCATCATCTGCCACTCTGCTTTCAGTCACCACGCACCCCCCCCTCCCCCCACCGCCTCCCTTGCAGCTTTGCCTGAATCTCCACCAAAGCCGGTACGTTGAAACCTCTAGCCACCCCTCGCTAGTGTAGGTGAGGGGGGCCACAGACAGCAGTTTACATGTTGTAGGCCACGTATATTGGGTCAAGCTGGTCGGCGAGAAAACCGTCGCGCAGGTGCATGCGCTGTTTCTCTCCACGCGAGTTGATGGGGATGGTGCCAGGGTCCGTGACCACCACCACGCCCACCACCAGATAGTGCTCTTCCAGCACCGAGTTGGTGACCAGCGGCACCAGGTCCAGCGCCTCCTGCTCCTGCCCTCCCAGCTCCACCACCACCACCAGCAGGTTGGTCCACGTGAACACGGCGCTGCGGGGGAGGGAAGGAAAAAAAAGAAACGGCAAGTGGAGGGGATGAGGCACTGAGACAGCAGTGGGGACACGTAGGGCGAGTCCTCGCTGAACGCGTGCTCACAACGACAACAACGCGTTTTGACAATAACACGGTTCTACTATTAAGGGAACACTTTTCGTACGACGCGGAACGCGCGGCTTCTGAGCGGTCGACGACGAACTACTTTCTTGAGCTGCGCGGCTGAGCGGTAATGAAATTCATTCTGGCTATACACGCACAGAATGCTTCAGTACGCAGCGATGTACCCGCACCTCAGTTCAATATCCCACCGTCTCACTGGGTGTAGATATATCGCACCCTTGCCAAACTTTGTCCTTACATTATTTCGATGGGGAAATTACCGTATAAGCAGGCGTACAAATGACGTGGAATTGACAATCCTGAATCAAAGCAGTGAACAAATGTTGTGGCAGCAAATTTTAAGTAAATATTGATGATACGACAATAATTTTAATAATATATCGTACTTTCCGAGCCTAATTATAAACTGGGAATACAAACTCCTTGGTGCTCGAAATCAGTTTTGTGAATCAGACTAAAATGCCAACTCTTAAATGGCAATTTTCATGAACTGGAAAAAGCAAGCAATCCGAGACAAAATGTAAAATCATGCACACCAAGATATGAAAAATGTATGGTTCATAAAATATTTACAAATGTCAACAGAGGCAATAAAATCATCATGGGAGAAATCCTCAATGTCATACAAGCCACCTGCTGGGCTGGCATCCATGTGCATACGTGTCAGAGCTACCTCAACATGTGAATTTTATAAATTGTCCATGATGACAAGTTATCATGAAAGTAGCTGCTCCAACTTTATTAAGCATCGTCAGCACAGGAAAGTTATGCACTCAACTACGACATGTGCTTGGGCTCTTACAAAAATCGCAGATATAAATATTAAACTAACTGAAAATTGTCATCTTCTTGAAGAATAAGGATTCGGCTGTAATGTCAGCTTTCCAGGGGGCCACGGTGGCGAGATGTTAACTACCTCGCTTGGTATACGTGAGGTCATGGGCTCGATCCTGACACCTGTATATTTGGAGTTTGCGGTGTCTCTCCCTGTGATTGCGTGGGTTTTTCTCCAGGAGCTCCGGTTTTTTCCTCCACATTTAGAAACATATGTTTAGAGCATTTGGCTTCCATAAGTTTCCACATGATAAGCCACTTCGTTGAGCTATCATTTGTGGCCAGGTCGCTTCTGAAAAATAGCTACATAGTCTGAGTGGGCCTTACCTGGTACAATAATAAAATGGTAAAAATAAAAAACTTAGCGTGGGTGAGGGATGCCCTCAACACAGTCTGCTGCCCTCTCCATTAACTACGGTGGGTACGAGTGGCACTACAGCGTGGGGCGACACCCACCACTCAGCAATGCTCTTGTGAGCCCGCAGGATGGAGGTCTCGATGTCGATGGGGTGGTACCGCATCCCTCGCAGCTCCAGCGTCTCGTCCAGTGAACCAACCACGTACAGCGCATCGTGGCGATCTGGGAAGGTGGTGGATGGGAGCAAACGGCACGACAAAAAAAGGGCGGGTAAGCGTGAACGTGTCGGCAGTTCTCAAGACAGCCGGCCCAAGTGGATCAGCGGTAGAGCGGGGGGGGGGGGGGCGAGCAATCGGAAGATTGGTAGTTGACATCCTGGTCAAGTGGTTGACTCGGGCCCTTTATAAATCCCTCTGGGGTCACCCCGTGAGGAGGAATGTGCGAATTTTCACCGCCGGTTCAGGGCAGGAAACAGGAGATGAACACCGCCTCAATGTTCATTTGAACAGGAGATCACTTTGACTAAGCTTTGAAGGATACAAAGACAGCGGGAAGTAAGGATTATTTACAGAGTTTTGTATTACAGTATTGTTAGAACTGCATCTCACATTATTCTAAAGACATACTGTTGACTAAAACTTAATTAAAATTCTAGTTAACAGTAATTTAACACCAAGTGGTGCAGGCATCCAGCTGACGGGCGTGCTAGGGTTACAGCCCTCGCGTTAGCAACGTTGCAAGTTGAAATGCCAGTTTAGGATCGACACAGCCCATCATCTTTCGATGGCCAATAAAATGATCATCAAGCTGTATAATGCTGGCAGTGGTTGTATTAAGGAGAGATTGGTTGCCACCATGGAATCTCCACCAGTAAGCACATGGTGGCCAAACAAAGATGAGCACGGGCCTCCGATGATGCCTGAGCACACCTTGGAGGCACGTTGGCACCTAAGCCACGTAAATACAATCACTTTGAGAAATGAGCGGGGGAGCGGTGGAGCAGTAGTTAGCGCACTGCACGATCAATTTGGTGCCACATTGACGAGCGGGGTGAAGTATGGACATTCAAACCCCATGGCTGATCGTGTGGGGAGACCTTCATCCAGCAGTGGACTGACAAAGGGGTGTAATTATGCATGATGTGTACATACAGGTGGAACCTCAACATTGGCCTGCTAAAGTATTCGGGTCTGGTGGAAATCTCATTCTCAAACTTTTGCCGCCACTCGTACATTTGTTTTACTATTTTGTACAGGTTAATTAAATGTTGACAAAACCTTTCTGTTGGCATTTCACAAAGTACGTACCAACCGTAAAAGGACCAAATGTGCTGCTACAAATTTTTATACACAAATTACGTGTTTCTATTTGCATCAACTTAGAAATCTGGCTCGGCATGGGGAATTCCAGAGTAAACACTAAATAAAGGAAGCAATCAGTCCTTCCCTTTGGTAGGATTTACAACATGCAATTTGAACGTGGCATTTCAGGCTGAGATGTGGCTGATAATTGCAGGCATTATCCACCAGTGAAAGGATGTAAAGAGATTACTTTCACTCATGATTATAGCATTTTTGTTTGTTTTAGCACCAACATATATAGTTACTTACTGGCATATCTACTGAATTCTTAAACACTCTTTATGTTGAGACACTATGCAATTATGTGTTCATGTATGTGGCCAAAAGGCTGCAAACTTAAAATAACCGACTCTATATGGACAACTAAATTCCCATCATTGTCTGGTATTTGTGGAGGTGGAATAATGTCAGTCAGATGGATAGTGTGCGCTAAAGACCATTTGATATTCAGAAGCGTAAGCCATTGTGTGCACTCCTGAGCCAGGAGTGTAAATTACACATTCCCATGGCAGGGAAAACTAGTATCATCGCCTGCTATTATTGACTCAACACAAATCACAAGTGGAAGGATGGAATATTTTGTCCAACTTCCAAAATAAAAAAAATATATACATTTAATTAAATTGACTGTCCCTCGGTCATAATTTTACCTCAGTTACCCAGGCTTAGCTGGCAAAATTAATCTTTTCCTGAATAATCAAATAATTAAAAGGCCACTAATATGGATTAATATTGAACACCACAACCCAATTACTAATTCAGTGTGACACAACGAGACCTCTATTTTTACATCACCGTCTGTGGTCCTGGAACCTATTATGTATTAACTTTCCCAAAACTACAGTGTACAATATACAGCTACTTCCATATTGCTAGCTCATATATATACTAGTACTTGCCTGGGTCAAAAAAATATTTTAAAACTACTCTTAAAATCTAACAGCAGCGCATACTGACTGTGGTGATACCTGCTATGATTACAGCAGTGCATACCTACTTTTGGTGGGACTTGCATTCCCTAGACCAGTGCATACTGACTGTGGTGGTACCTGATATAACAGCAGTGCATATTTACTGTGATGGTACCTGCAATGACTACAGCAGTGCATAGTGACTGTGATGGATGGTACCTGCTATGATTACAGCAGTGCACACTGACTGTGGTGGTACCTGCAATGACTACAGCAGTGCACACTGACTGTGGTGGGACCTGCTTTAACTACAGCAGTGCATACCGACTGTGATAGTTCCTGCTATGACTACAGCAGTGCATGCTGACTGTTGTGGTATCCTGCTATGACTACAGCAGTGCATGCTGACTGTGGTGGTATCCTGCTATGATCACAGCTTTCACTACGGTAGTACATGCTGACTCTATCTATCTTACATATGAAAGGGAAAGTTGTGTATATGTGTGTATGTTCGATTTGTTTAGCATACTTGCCGACATGCAACCAACTTACTGGATATTAAACGGGAATAGGCCGATTCTAAAGAAATCTACAACCTTCGATTCCTTTGCGCGATTTAAAGAATCGATTCTTGGCGTGCTCGGGTTTTATTTTATTTTAAATTAATGAGTTATCTTTTCATTTGTATGTTATGTTTTTAGTTTTCAGACGTTTTAAAATATATATTTTCCCGCTAGTAGCATTATATATCGACTCCATAGCACAAAGTACTCACTTGACAGAGTGCCGTGACGAGGCCTAGTCCCGTGCAGAGCCCCCCGGCCTCGCCTAGATTGCCCGGCCGGCCGAGGCTAGGGCCTGGGCCGCTACCCCCCCGCCCCCACGCGCTACAATAATACTATTTAATCGCTATAATTTTAGTATCTAACGAGCCTATAATAGTAAGTGCACACATTGGGGTGGAGCGGGAGAGAAGAGGACGTTACACTTTGATGAATTTACCTCAGCGTTGCGTGTACATTATTTGCATTTTAAATGAGAAATGGCGTCCCCCCTGCAGGGACGGCGTGAGTGCGTTGCCAGGGGCAACAACTCGTGTCGGCGTTTCGCGCATGCGCAGCAGCAGCGAGCCGGTCGGCAAAAGTAAATAAATAAATAAAGAGGAACCGCGCTAAATCGTTAATTAAACCACTTTAAAGTTTAGGGATGGGAAAACGAAAGAGCCTATTCCCACCGCGGGGCCCGGAGCGTGCCGCCCGGCAATTTTTTGTCTACGCAAACCCCACGGTACGAAAGCCAAATCCCCCGCAAGCGAGCGTACGCAGACAGACGGACAGACAAAAAATGCCTTTTATAGGTTAGAAGATACAATCAGCAGGAAACAATTTAATAATTAGAAAGACACTGTGGAATTAACGGTATTCTAAACAAAAGTAAAAATGTAAAAAGGCTTCTCCGTAACTGGGTGAGCTAGCAATTCCAGATGTCAAGGATTGATAAGGCTGGAAGCCTGGACCCTGGGTTGACCTTCAACTGGATGGCCTTAGATGGGTAATTTAACATCAAGGGCTTCCATGCCGCTAAGATGCTAAGCAGGCAGGGTGCAGATTCTCGCGGAGTTGGTTATACTTTGCTCTCATTCCGAAGAGAGACAACGCACACGGAAGGATATTTAAATCAAATCAAATTGATGAGACGTTTTAAGACGCTGTGTGTCACGACTGTCATTTTCTGGAGTGTGGCAACTTTAATTTTTATACCCAAAGACAGTTGACATTATAAAACAGAGGTAAGGATCTGTATTATTTTGTGAAGATGAGCAAGGTTACATTGACAGATTACTTGAGGGAATACAGCAGTTGCATGTATCATCGGAAAGTGTATGACCACTTGCACAGAAGGTATTCCCATATTTTGAATGTTTATTTTTCCTTGGATAACTATCACTATTTTTACATTCATGAGATGAACATTTTTTTTTGTTTTGCAATTGGAACAACTGACTGGTTGACAAAAGTATCAACCGCTCTCCGCCCCGCATATTGGCCCACATAACTTTCTGTCAAAAGACAGGGCATGCGTTAGAATTCCTAACCAGTACACAAACGCCCTTTGTTAAGCCGTCTTGTGCCAACATCAATCTTCAGTTGGTATATCTCAGACACTAATGCAATTTCACATTTGAATCGATCGCTGTTATACACAAGCACTGTGCGGAATGAATGTATAACAACTTTCATCGTGCAACTGGACGCTTAATTTATGACCGAACAGAGTGTGCTCGTGGATTTTAGGATGCCGCCCTGGAAGAGGTGCTGGTTGTTCCGAAGCAAACAGAGCGACACGTTTCAGTCCCTATGGGCCAGCCCTGCAACACGAGGGGCTCACAACACACAGCAGGGTACACGGGTGGCAGCTCGACGAGAGTGCGTTTAAAGCCACTCTTGCCCGATCCCACACTGCAAAGTCAAAGCTTAGCCGATTCCCACCAAAGCTGTGATAATTAACACACGGAATAATAATAATAACAAATAATTGGAGGCCGATTACAATTAAACACGGCCTAAACGCATTGACATGATGGTTACACATTTGCTCAAATTAGTTTGAATGGGCGACCTAAGACAAGAAGATCATAATGAACTTATTCAGAAGATGCTGATGGTTGTTGCATAATGCACAGAGGCTCAGTGGTGCCGTTAGTCGGTCACATTTGCTTAAATGTATTAAAATTAACTTGATTAAAAAAGATTATTATTAGTGTGTGCCTCGTCACAGGCCAACGCCCCACTTAAATGCTATGTTGTATTGTAATATTTGCTATTTACATGGCGTTCAAATGCATCAAGTCACTCAACGTGCCTTACATTACACCTGAAACATGTGCAGGGACCCCCTCCCCCCCGCCAGTGGCAGCTGTCCCTGTGCGACACAGCACCTGGCCTGAGAAGTGGGCACGAGAGTCTGCATATCATGGGGCGATGATCGCTGACGTGTAATCATAATTGACGAATTTTCAGGTCATTTTTGGAATTTGGAAAATGTGGACCATGATGCCAGCACACAATGGCCACTTAATTTTTTGAATGACGTCATGAGACATATAATATCCACTGTGAAGCAGATGGCAAATAGAGTATTTTTGGTAAAAAAAATATCGTGGAATGATTACTCTATGTATCCAGTACAACAGACAAAAAACATCTAAAAAACTACTATAACCTGGTTATATGGTCTACGTGTCTTAATAAAATAACTTTGACTTTCGAAGTTGTATCACATTTGATTAATAAAGTGGCAGAACATTGCACTCAAAGTTGTCAACATTTGTAAATTCAACAACTGACAAAGACAAGCCTCGGAACGTTTAATTTGGCCACTAGATGGCAATGCACTCATTCAGAAATGTTCACGTAAAAAAGGCACTGAAAACAAGATTCAGCACACGGGCTATAAGATAGTCCTGTGATTCCAATCTTGCGCTGAATATAAGCCATCGCTGGGAAGCAGTGGCCTCTCAGAAGAAGCTCCTGACACAGGTTGTGTGCATGTGTGTGTGCAGGGATAGCATAGCGTTCATCACTACAGGGGCTCATTTGGGCAGCTAAATACATTTTCGAATATTCCTGCATATGAACCACATGGTGGGACCCTGGGGTCCCAAATAAACTGAAGTCAAAATCGTAATTAATGAACTTATTTTTGGCGACTCCGTTCCACCACGCACATAAACGCCGCGACCCACCAGAAATCAATCCTCTCGTTCTTCCCCAAGCACCCGTAGTTGCCAAAATTGTCGTAGTCATAAACAAAACTTTTAACTTTGATTAGCGCAGCACGTAGAGCTCGTCGTGAGGAATAGATTTCCGTATAGTTTGCATTCAGCAGGCGTAAAACGACGTCGCAACGCAGTTTATGCGAGAGCCGGGGACTTATGGGACCCCGGGGCCCTGCCAAAGGTTAATATAGCCTACACAGGCTGTCAGAGAAAGGGCTGTTTGCGAGCATATATTAAGGTCAGCACAGCACAAAAGGGGAATGAGTGGCCAGTACAACGCTTCGCTGCCATTGTCACCCCAATGCTCATGTTTACCACAACAGGTACTCATCTAAGGCTGACTCAACCCCTGGGGTTGACTCAAAATGTGTGTGCAACATACACAGAATATTTGTTGCTTGATGGCACAAATGTGGTACTACAGATCAGCCTGAGAAAATCCAATTGCCAGCACTATACCATTTTAAGAAATATTATTTCTAGATGTCTCCACATAAGGTGAGTTGTAAAAAAAAATGGGAATAGTTTATTGGCTTTATGAATGCACATGCATGAGCTATACAGCCCTTGCACACAATATTATTAAAATAGTCTCGTTATTTCGCTTGTTTAACCTCAGTCAGTCTGAATGTTATTTTTCAGGAGAGTCCTGCCAAGTTTTTGGAGTCGGGGGCGATGTTGCTGTGTGTAATCCCAAGTGAGTAAGTTGCAGGTAAATTTTCAGCGTTTGAGATGTTTGGTCAATACCAGTTACATGGTATGTGTTTTTTTTAGCTATAGGAGGAAACACAGAGTGAAGATGCAAACTCCAGAAATGCGCCCAAGTTGGGAACTGAACCCAGGCCCCCCTTCTTGGTGTGAGGCACAGGTGTTAGCCATTGCAGCGCCACCCTGTCGCCAGATATTATTACTGCGCACACTTCGGAACTGTTGTGTCTCTTGGGAGCCCTCTTGACGAGCAGTGGCACTTGCGTCCATCATTGACGTGCCATGGCGCTCATCGCCACCCCAAAATAATTATCGTGACACTGAAGTGTTGTGCGTTACGACTGAGTGGCAGAGTGTTCCTCAGACCAGTCGTTCATAACGTGACGACACTTCGTTGTCGCTAAAAAATGGCATCACTGAAAGTTGCCAAGTGTGGACGATGGCATGGGTGGCCAAGTCTGGTGGCGATGGGTTTTCTCCATGTCACTGGATTCACGAACTTCCTAACCACAATTTTGTCTATCTGCAAATCGCATCTGGAACTCTACGCGACTGCATCGAGAGAGGGAAATTTGAGAGGGAATGTGACGTGAGAAAATAATGCGAGAAAGTGATGAGATAATCTTCATGTATTTAATAGCTTATTTACATATTTATTATCCGCCAAATTTGCTATTCAGGAGCATCTCCGAAGCGTATCCCTCACAAATAACAAACGAATATTGTATACTCCTGAGTGCTACAGCATCACCATAAGTCGGAGTGTGACAAACCAATCTTAGAGTCACTCGTCCATCCCCTGCTGTTGCCGAACAGCTGCACACTGAGGAGCTCAATGGCGATAACTACCGTCAGAATCCTCTCCCCCCCCGCCCCGTGCCACATCCCCGCGGCTTCCCAACTTCTCAGCTGCCAACTGAATCCTGGAAGTTGGTAAAATGAAAATAATTACCCCCGAAACGGATGCTTGGAATCCGAGTTTCATTCCTCACATTCGAGTACAGACCACTGAAATAAGAGCTTGGATTTGCACAAATGCTCTTGTCCGTCCCTGGCCTGTATTCTGCTGCTTTGTCTGTCAATTGCCAAGGCTGCTGCAAGTTGTGCATTTTACCCATCGCAGATTTTGTTCCCGCGCTGCATGGCATGGAGGCACGCTTCCCGGTGTGCGTACGGATGGTTTGTATCCCAGCGGCCTTAATACTTCACGGATAGTATGCAGACCATTGATGAGATTTTATTTCTTCTTTTTAATACTATATATGCTGTTTCTTCAATTCGTTATCGTCAGTCTTAATGTTCAGTTAAAAGCACTTAAAAGTGTGTGCTCTCCAGTTACCCGGGTGAAAAAGTGTCGCAATCCTGGCCAGCTGGCTCAACAATAACCGAATCAAACCAAGCGAGCACAGGGCCCGGGGGGCAAGGCCGCTGCTTACCCCCACTGGCGTCGGTGAGCTCTGTGCGCCGGATGAAGCCCAGGTAGCCCGTCTTGGCCCACACGGCGTGCGTGTCTCCCACGGTGAGACGCGCACTGAAGTGGTCCGTGTGCAGCGACTGGTCTCCGTAGATGGTGTAGTACCCACTCGAGTTGTGAGGGCTCTGCACCCAGATCTGCGGGGGAAGCATAGCGTCGGGTGGCCACACACGCGTGTGAGCGTAGCCGCTCGCTCGCTCGCTCGCTCGCTCGCTCGCTCGCTCTCTCGCTCGCTCGCTCGCTCTCTCGCTCGCTCGCTCGCTCTCTCGCTCGCTCGCTCGCTCGCTCTCTCGCTCGCTCTCTCGCTCGCTCGCTCTCTCGCTCTCTCGCTCGCTCTCTCGCTCGCTCGCTCTCTCGCTCGCTCGCTCTCTCGCTCGCTCGCTCTCTCGCTCGCTCGCTCGCTCGCTCTCTCGCTCGCTCGCTCGCTCGCTCTCTCGCTCGCTCTCTCGCTCGCTCGCTCGCTCGCTCGCTCTCTCGCTCGCTCGCTCTCTCGCTCGCTCGCTCGCTCGCTCGCTCGCTCTCTCGCTCGCTCGCTCTCTCGCTCGCTCGCTCTCTCGCTCGCTCGCTCTCTCGCTCGCTCGCTCTCTCGCTCGCTCGCTCTCTCGCTCGCTCTCTCGCTCGCTCTCTCGCTCGCTCTCTCGCTCGCTCTCTCGCTCGCTCTCTCGCTCGCTCGCTCTCTCGCTCGCTCTCTCGCTCGCTGCATGAAAGGGAGATACGTCAGAGTCAACCGTGCGCTGTTTTCTCGCCATGCGTCAGAGTTGTCAGTGGAGATTCACTTTTGAAGCAATTCGCAAGGCACCTTAGCAGAGCGTTTGTTGAGCCCGTGATGGTGCGTTAAAGGTTGTACATTACCTCTCCCAAGTGGGAGTCTCCCAGGGGCCCGCGGGTCTCTGGGTTGGCAACAATCACCTTCACCCCAGGCATAATCTAATGGAGAAAATCAACGCGAGAACATTATACCGGTAAGGGAATAGCTGGTGTATATCAGTGCTAAAGTTAACTTAACTGATTAACTCTTAAACTACGGTGAAATTCTGAAATTTGGCCACTCCTGGATGGGAGTAGAGTAAGGACTTTTAGGTTAAGTGAATGACAGACGATGCCAATGACCCCAATACAGCAAACGTTGTGTGTTGATGAGTGGAGAACTTAAGCTCAGTTCACACTGGCATGATCATGATGGATGATATTAATTTTATTCCTTTGTGCAGGGTATACTCTATGTTTTAAGGCTGAACACAAGACGGCTCGCATCACAAGACCCGGTAACATTCCTTGCCATGTGTATCAAACAGAGATGAATGTAAAGCGTTTTGATATCTCAACAGCAAGGGATGATATGAATGTTCTGTCTTGTGACAAACATATGAAATACCAACATGCATGTTATTAAAGACTATTTTTGGCTAGACGTCGAATAAACATGGTCACTGCATCGCGTGTCTTCAGATGCGCTTCTGCGGCCATCTGGAACGCTCTTCCTTCTGATATTAAGATGCCACTGGAGCAATGCAATTTAAAATCGAGATTGAAAACTAATTTCTTTAGAACTTATTTTTGTGTTTAATTTGTTGTCCTTCCCCCGCACCTCTAATTAGCACGATAAGGTTACGTACGGTGCGAAAGAAGTTCAACATACATACATACATAAGGTTATTTCTGATCATTATGAAACAACTTTTGAAGCAGACATGTGCGGCACGTATGCAAGTTTATGCAAGTGCAATGCAGAACAACAGACAGTTTTGATCTATGAAAAGTCAACGATGCAACGTCTTGTATGAGCCTTGACATGGTGGACGTTTACCTTTCCAGATGCCATTAAGGGCAGGCTCAGGGGAGAGCCCTTCTCCACCATGCGGACCCTGGAGATGGTACAAAAGTTGAGAAAAGCTTCACGTCTTCATCGTGCAGTGGAGATCGCCCACGCGCTCACGCGCAACTGAGTTATATTTTGTCTTGCTACATACTGTGTTGCACACTTTGTGCTGCATACTGTGTGTTACACACTTTGTGCGTTCCTAATAAGAGCAAAGTGCGATTTTAATATTGATCATAATATGGATGCAGTGCGATTCTAATATGAGTACAGCGCGATTCAAAATACATACATTAAACGCATGTCATGATCAAAGAATACATTTATAATGTTATTCGACACTTTTATGATACATGTAGTTGGTTCGATAACTTACTTGGCATCTAAGTCAATGTTATTGTGCTCTGTTGTCTAAATAGATGGACCTCTGACTCGCTTGGCTGAAATAACTGTTAATTGAAGAGAGCTGTTTCCACTGCCAAAGCAAAAAACGTAATGTAAACAAAGTCAGCCGAGGTCTAAATGCTCATAAATTGGCGTTGATGATTATTTGGGGGCATAGCTCAGCCCCACTTACGAGGGCTCAGATTGGCCGAAATTGGTACCCGCGTGCATAACGAAAACACTACCGTAAATCAGAATTTGAACGTCAGTCGAAACCATAGGGTCCCTATGGGAGGCGAAACGTTAATCGAAAAATCGTGAACCCATGTCACTGTTAACTGAGGGACTACTGTACCATGGTATAACACACACAGTACATCGCAGGATGGCTGCGGGCACAGCAGTGCAGAGTGCGGGCGGTGTTGTGCAAGGTATATCCACAGGGGATTGTGAGCTGCAAGGTCACCTGTCGTGTCTCAGAGCCCTCATATCCACGTAGACGGTGGTGGGATCAGGTCCAGCGGTTCCCTACAACACAGACGACACCTTTCCGTTGTTGCACTGCACGACTGTAAACTCACACCGCCTTTGCAACCACAGGGATGTTGCAGCATGCAAGCATGGAGCATTTATGCTGGAATGCACTCTCTCTCTCCGAGGTGTTGCTCAAAACACGTACACCAGTTAAACTATGAACTATTCTTTTTTTTACTACCAGGTAAGGCCCACTGAGCTCTATGGCTCTTTTTCAGAAGTGGCTTATAGCAACCAAATACTCTAAACGCACGTTGATTTTAAATGTGGAGGGAAAAATGGGAGGACCCGGAGAAAAATCCACGCCACCACGGGGAGAGAGAGAGAGAGACATGCAAACTCCAAATATACAGGCGTCGTCAGGGTTGTAATCGAACCCCTGACCACCTGTATACCGGGCGAGGTAGCTAACATCTCGCCATCGTGGCACCCCTTCACGGCAGCATGCTGTGAGCGTGGCCAGCACGGCACAGGGCCGTGTGGTGGGGATGCCAGGTGAAGGCTAAAATGTGGGGCAATGAAAGGGATTACGACCAGGACAAATACCTGCTCTGCTACGTTGCCCATTTTCCGCGGCTAAAGAAAGAATTCATGACCAGACGAACGCATAAAATGTATTTAAACAAGGGGGGGGGAAAAAGAGTTGAAAATTGTTAGAAGAGGACAGGAAGAGATGCACAGCATAGAATGTACAGGAAAAGTCAGAGGAAAAGTTGAAAGGAAGCACACTGCCAAAAGTCCTGTGCCAAACGAGTAGGCATGCCCACACACTCCAACCACACGAGTCATTATACAGGCTTGCTCATAAGAACCAATGGAACCGACAAGGACAAAGTCTGTAAACAGGTAACAACTATCACCGACTTGATAACGGCTACATATCATTTATTTAACATCGATCTGCATCATTCACAACAGGGGATGGAACAAACGCTCGTATAAAACTTTACAAGTAACAACTAAAGACCTGTTGTTTTTTGGCAAAGGTCTCTTCTGGACTTGCATGAAATACCCATACTGCCAGTCAATACCGATAACTTATAATACACATACATTGTTTTTCATGTGTATGTGGTCGTAAACATTGATGAGCTCGAAATCCACGTGCAACAAACACATTAATCGATACACAATTTGGCAATTATCTTTCCAATAAAGCCTCAAGAGTCTTAAAAAATATTTCTCATCGCGGGTGCTGCATTGTGACATTGCCATAAGCATGAATCAGACTCGCACCATATTTCAGCTGGTAAGGCCCACTGAACTTAACGGCTCTTTAATTTTTTTTTATTTAAAGCTTTGTTTTAAAGCTTTCGTGACTGCAGGGATTCCTATTCTTGGTTCTTTCGGTAATGTCACGTAGAAGGGAAACAATAAAATAATAAAAATATAAAACAATAAAATTCTCACGACGTTTCGACTGCAACGCAAGCAATCATCATCAGGTGTGAAAACCACAACAAGAAAATTTGAAAAAAGTGGCGGATTTATGTGGGAGGAATTCTGAGTACCCGGAGAAAAGCCACACAACGCGGGGGGGGGTGACATGGCACTGCAGGTTTTTGGCCACCTTGCGGCTCCTTGCCTACAACACTCGAGAGGCTTCGGTGGTCACCCATGCAGACCCAAGCCTGCTGAGCTTCAACAAGTGATGAGATTTGGTAGCATTGAGAGCGATTTTGTCAAAGCTACAGGCGCATTATTTATTTATTTTGACACTCTTTTTACTCATGAAAGCCTGAGTCTCAACTAATTTTTCAAGAGGGTCCCCTGCCAAGTTTTTTTGCAGGAGGGGGGGCGATGTTGCTGCTGCTGCTGCGCGATTCCAATTTGAGTGATTTGCAGGTACATTTTCAGCATTGGCATGTTTGTATTGTTGTATGCTGAACTTCTTTCGCACCGCACGTAGCCAACCGTGTTAATAGGAGGTGCGAGGGGGAAGGACAACAAACTGAACACAAAAATCAGTCCGAAAGAAATTCGTTTTCAATCTAGAAAAAATAAACGAATTTATAATGTTTGGACAACACCAGTTACATTTTCTGCTACATAGCAACACGACCCTGAAAGCCTGCAAAGAACACGCCGAGTCCATTAGAAGTAGCTCTGGGCATGTGAAGTCGCTACTTGTATTGCTTGAAATGTACAAACACGAATACACAGTGCAACAGTACAAAGTAGCGTTAGGATGCTTTGGATTCAGTGCTAATACCCAAGGCTCAGACAAGCAAAGTTAATGCACCCTTACAATTGTTATGTTGTATTTTGAATCTCTCTGTGGCTCAGCGGGACAGACTGTGGGGGCTTTCGGACTTGTTGGGATTTATCGTCGATGTGTGATGTTGACAGAGAGAGAGAGAGAGCATGGAAGAGTCGCCGCTCGCACAACACTGATGTGCGCAGCCGTCCGTGCAACGGAACACAAGGGGAGCAGCAGCAGCAGCAGCAGCAGAAGCCGTCAGCGGCACGCTCGTAAAAGAAGGGAGGCAAAGACAAAGATATCCCGTTTAGACTGTTTGGGGCAAGCGCTGTTAGTGAGCGCCTATGAAGGCCGGCCATAGTACATGAGGAGGTGGGTGGGTGGGTGGCCAGCACCACGCCCGTCCGCCTGTCTACCCAGTGGTGACGTTTACACGCCGCACCAGGCGCGCACTTGAGGCTGAGTCGCCCTAGGGGAGGGCCCAGGACCGGTTCAGATAATCATCACTGGTGTTGGTGGCCGTAGACGGGAATCGAACTTGGGTCGCCAGGTTCGAGGCGCGCGCACACACAGAGAGACACACATCGGTGACGCGCGAGCACACACACCTGCAGGCAAACGGCCACGTTGACGCGGCAGCCGAAGGTGGTGCTGACGGCGCGCGCCGACAGCCCCAGATCCTTGAAGAGCTTGGAGAAGGACTGTGTGAGCGCGATTCGCGGTCGCTCCTCCGCCACCACCACGCACGTGCGCACGCACGACAGGTTCACACCCTTCGCCTGCACGCAAGGACAGCCGACAGGATGTCACCGCCCGTCCGATCGCCCGCCTGATCGCCCACCCGCCCGCTATCGGACGCCACTCTGCACTCAAAACGTCATTTTTTTTTAATATGTATATAAACTGCAAGGTGGCACGGAGGGAGAGGGTGCAACTCAATTCCTGGTTTGGGGTTGACGTGGCCTATCCAGCCAATCAAATCAGCGCTACACAGGTAAGGGTCCACTGAGCTACATAGCTCTTTTTCAGAAGCGACCTGGCTATCACGAATGATAGCTCAACGAAGTGGCTTATCACCATATGGAAATGTACAGCAGCCAAATACTCTGAACGCATGCCGCTAAATGTGGAGGGAAAAACCGGAGGTGTCAGGGGTCGCGACCGACCCCACGACCTCCTGTACAACAAGCGATATAGTCAACATCTCGCCACCATCAACAATGGGTGTTCACCATTGTTGATGAATATGACTTGGCCCCAGAAACAGGAGAGTGGAATTTGCACCCAATTACCCACGGGGACTGCTCATTTGAGCAGGAAATCACCATGGGCTTTCAGTGATCACACGAGCTGCCTGCCCCTCTCTCTTCAACCGGCCATGTGAATCGGACTCCTCACCGACCTCCCAAGCAAAGCTTTAATCCTCCTCTTCCATGCCCCACCTACATGTTGATAAACTCTGGAATTCATTACTCTCCTTGAAGTATGCTGTCAATCACTTACCACTCTCGTATCTCTCTTGCCAGTGCTGATTGGGTTCACAATTGTGGCCTGGCCTTTTTCGTTCACAAATCCTCATTTGAAAATATTCACCCGCAGACGATCCCATTACGAAGAGCACCGTTCCATATGCCCGCTATGCAGGGGCACATCAACGTGTCAAACCATTGTTAATTAAGTCCAACAAAGCATAGGATTGGGGGGGGGGGGGAGGGTGATGGGAGGTGGAGGGTGGCGGGGGGTGGACCTTGAGTGCGTCCGTCTGTGCGCCCAGACCACGCGTACACAGCTCCATGACGGAGTACGAGCAGAAGGTATCCCGCACACGGTGCTGGCTCACGGCCGACAGCCACAGAGCCGGGTTCGACTCCAGCTCCAAGGGCGGGATCAGGAAAGACTGGTGGCCTGCATATACCCTGCAGCGGGACACGCACGCACGCACACGCACAAAGTGAGCGTGTTGTCGGAGTTACACGATATCGTGCCAAGATTCGGTGTAATCACAGAGGTTCAGGGAAAGCAGTGGTGTGTCAGTAAATGAACCAGACATTTTTTTGAAACACAAAAAAATATAATGTAATAACCCGAGAGCTTAAATTAGCTTGAAAGGGTCATTGTGCACTGCTTGCGTGTGAGTAGAGTGGCCAGGCACATCCCATGCATTAATTTCACTTAACTTAGATTCATCATCCCAAGCTGTGCTATTGTAGTCAAGGCACAAAAGCTCAATCTAGAAACTTCGTACAAATTCACTGGAGCATCACGTTACACGGTGAAAAGACCATTGAACATAACCCCCCCGGGGCAATTAACTTGTGGTGTCTACTAATTGTGACTTTACCTGCAAGGCAAAAAAACCCTGCTACGTTAAGGGTACCGGACGCACGTCGAAATCAATACGCAAGATTACCTCTGAAAGCTCAGACAATGAACAGATTTAAATCCCTTTTTTTTTTATTCAGTGATTGGTGACCCTTAACACGCCACTCTGGCGTGTTAAGGGTGAAATTCAAACTGAGGATCTCTGCAGGTGTCAGCTTTGTATAATGAAACCCGCTTCCAGCACATCTACTGTCGAGCCACCACTTTCTGGCCACAGTGACCTTCAAAAGTCCTTACAAAAATGCACGAAATTAAACATTTTCAGGCGGCAAATCCAATAAAACAGGGGTGGCGCTCGCCCTTGGGGGCCTTATAAGGAGAAATTATTTGTTTGGACCCCACACTATATTTGTTTATAATGTCCGAGTGAGATGACAGAAGAGGTAGAGAGAAGAGATAGAGATGTAGTGAGACGAGAGATGGGAAATACAGATGCCAAGGAATTGAAGTGAAATGAGAGAGATGTTGACAAAAGACAAATATGGAATCCATATGATAGAATAGAGATACAGACAAGATTACGATGTTTATGAAGATTTGTATTCGAGTTGTTCACGAATATGGGGACCCTTGAGCTATTTAGGGCTCTTAGTTTGCTTTTGCCTGTGGCCACCACTGAACAGAGGATGAGTATGGCCAACACTCTTAAGAGTATCTTATGCTCAGATTAAATGGCGCAGGTCCTGGCACAAGGCCCAGACTGCGGCTCTGCCGCTCTGTCAAAGGTAATCCAGTCCCCGTTCCATGCCACGCCGCGACGGATCGTGCGGTTGATGCCGACAAGCCCCCCCCACCCCCAGCACCACGTCTGTGCAGTACAGTGCGAGCGCTGCCGCGGGCCGGTCCTCACCCCGAGAGGCACCACAGGACGAAGCCCAGGCCGCAGTAGGGGTCGAGGCAGAGAGCCACGAGGCGCGACGGGTACAGCTCGCACTGCAGTTTGATGGCCTGGCACAGGGCGCTCGCCGCCGCGTGCGACATCTGCTCCGACATACATGCACGCGGCGCTCGCCAGCGTTACTCTCCAGCGCCTGTGGTCGCCACCCCCCTCACCCATCACCGTCCCATGCACACAATCTGTGTGTGTGTGTGTGTATGTATGTTGAACCTCTTTCGCACCGCACGTAGCCAATCGTGCTAATGGGAGGTGCTCTGTCTACGCAAGGATGGAAACCTCGTAAGACAATACCGTTTAACGGTATCATTAGGTGACCTGTATGTAATAATAAACATTATTACGTGACCTGTATGTAACAGTGGCGATTTATAGCATTGATTGAGATTATCAAATATGAATGGAAATTCAGACGAAAGATGTGTTGGCTTTTAGGGGCTCATTCATGTAGGAATTATGGGCACCTGGGTCATGTCATTATGTATGTTGAACTTCTTTTGCACTGTACATCGCCATCCGTGCTAATACGTGCACGGTGTGTGGTGCCTGACGAGGAGCAGAGTTTCCTCCAAGGGCCGTACCTTGACGCCAGCCAGGATCCCCGTGGTGGACACGCTGAAGTCCAGGTAGGCCAGCATCTCGGGCGTGGGGGCTCGGTAAAGCTGCTTGGGGCTCTTCCGTGGGAGGTCGTCTGTGCATCAAAGGACAACTCCTCGGTTTCCTCACAAGTGCCTTGGGTCGTTGGCTTACCATGAATCTTTAAACAAGGCAGCGTGGCATCTTTTTTACAAGCCGCCAAAGGTTAAACCCAAGTGGAACTTGTTTCGTGTAATCTGCATATTCATGACAAGCGCTTTGCTTGTTCACAACAAAGGGACACGGAGCCCTCTGACTGTATAATGTGTCGTAAACGTATCATCGTTTTACAGCAGGCAGATGGGCGGGCTGTTGACAAGTGTCCCTGCAATCAATTATACAGCAATTTCATGTTTTAATAAATGAACCAAATGTCATCAGTCACTCCCAGAATATGACCATTGCTGTCAAATGCTCTGATAAAACCACCGGCAAAGATCCTACCAGAAGACAGTAGAGAACTCACCGGTATCGAGAATTGGAGGCCAGGATTTGATGTCTGCAGCAGCTGCCTCCTTTGACTTCAGCAGTTTCGTGACCGCTTGGGTCGTGAGCACACACACTGACTTGCTCACCTGTGCCGCAAGCACGCACACAAATGCACGCACACAGGCAAGGCCATTCGTTGCAGTGGAATACAAATTCATGTGAAACCTTAATTAATAAAAACTAATTAGGAATAACACCCTTATAATGCAAACTGCCCTTTCACAAGAGGGATGTAATAGCACCCAAACATTGACCCCTACCGTCTTAGACACGGGTCACGGGGAGAGTTTCCATCCTGTGTATCAGGCCGCATGTGCATGAACAGTCATGAATCATCACCATCACTGTGTCAAAGGATTCTTAAAATCTCACGAAAAACCGGTCATTTGGAACAAACCAAACCTGTGATGGTGTAGGTTTCCGATTGCTCATATCATTATTATCTTAGCATTATTATATCGGTGGCATTCCAACATATTAAAACCAACTGTCCATAGCAAAACAAATATTTGGCGGCTCCCAACGGTACGCAGGACTCGCGTTTTGTACAGCGTCTTGAGATGCAGCTGCAAGTAGACGCTCCGTTTGGCAGCAGGGTGGTGCAGTGGAAATACTTGCGCCTTACAGTAAGTAGGGCCTGGCTTCGATTACTAACAACATGCGCTTCCGAGCATTTGGCTGCTATAAATTTCCACGTGATAAGCCACTTCGTTGAGCTATCATTTGTAGCCAGGTGACCTCTGAAACAGAGCTACATAGCTCAGTGGGCCTTACCTGGTAAAATAAAATAAAAAAAAATGTTCAGCTTACTTTAGAACAAAACACACTGCACGGACATTGCGCTGGGATTCAGGACGGGGCTGCTTTTTTGACCGCGATGCGAGGGGGCGGGGGTTGCCGTGCTCGCAGCGGGTGACGCACCTCGACGATCATGCGCACGGTGGGGAGAGTGCTGGCCAGGTTCTGCGGGTGGGGAGGTCGCACGGTGACCGGGACGCAGCCCGTGTACAGGCAGCCGTAGAATGCCGCGATCAAGTCGATGCCTGCACAGCCGCGACGCAGCAGCACCCATCAGACAGAGCGACGACTACTACAAAACCGAATACGGTACATTCCTGCGTACAATGATGCAATGCGGAACCGCCGACAACAATGAGCTGAGAGGTAATTGGATAGGAGCGTAGGGTCAATGTAAATGACTAAGTGGATTAAATGGTTTATAAATACACTAGCTTAACTACCCGGCTTCGCCCGGGACTTGGATTTACCACGCCCGGCCGCCTTTGTCTCCCCAGTGGCGATGTTCACACACCACACCAGTTACTCGTTTGAGGCTGAGTTAACCTAGGGGAGGCCCAGGACCGGTTAAGATAATCGTCACCGGTGGTGACCATGAGCGGGAATCGAACTCGGGTCGCCGGGTTCGTAGCGCGGCGTAGCGCTAACCACTACACTACAATGCGTTACGCTTCCACACACATACACACAGACACACACACAGACACATACAGACACACAGACACACACAGACACACACAGACACACACAGACACAAACAGCGCGCTAACCACTACACTACAATGCATTACGCTTCTACATGTGAGGGTCACGTGACAGATTTGACGTCACAGCTCACTTGCCGTGCAAAAAATATATGCATTATTGAGCTCCCCCCCCCCCCAAAAAAAAGTGTATTTGTATAATTTTTGCATGGTGTACAGTCTGGAAAGTACCCACATGGCAAATTTCCAGATTGTTGCATGTTGGGAAGTAGGCTAAACATTTTGCACAGACACACATAACCACAACTTTGCCTTTATATATGGAGATGTGTAACAGTAAACGTAAGTTCTAGGGGGTGTCAACGTGGGCGATCAATGTCTCGCCAGCCAGGTGCCGCACCAACCGCCGCCTCACACGGGTGCCGAGATGTTAACTACCTCGCCTGGTATACAGGAGGTCGTGGGATAGATCCCGACACTGACACCTGTATAACTGGAGTTTCCATGTCTCTCTCTCTCCCCGTGGTCGCGTGGATTTTTATCCGGGTCCTCTGGTTTTCCCCTCCACATTTAGAAACGTGCTTTCAGAGTAGTGGGTTGCTATATATCTCCACCATGATAAGCCGCTTCCTTGAGCTATCCTTTGCGGCCAGGTCGCTTCTGAAAAATAGCTATATAGCTTAGTGGGGGTCTTCCCTGCAAAAAAATAAATTAAAATAGTCAGTTAACAGCAAAGAGTTCCAATGCCACCCTTGCCATGTGCTATTCTGCTAACAGCAGCTGCCCTTCGGTCGACAAGGCCAACGCGGATCTTCATCTCCCTCCGTTGGCAGTTCATCACACCGGCCTATGGGCTGCAAAGCAAACGTCTCCCTCAACCGCGAGTTGGCGCAGCACCTGGGGGGTACACCAGTGCGACGTGGTCGCCCGAGTTGAGCCGCCCCTTCTCCGTGAGCAGCGTGGACACCCGCTCAGCGCGCCTGTGCAGTTGCAGGCAAGAGGCCGTCGCCGCCACCAGGCCCTAGTAAAGCACACCCGAGCCACGGAGGGCACACGCTCAACACGTTACGACGAGCGGTTTTTAAGCGAGCGATGCAACGTGGGACTTGCAAAGCGAATACGCGGCAGGCGAGCGATGAATGCAGAACGCGGCGAATGCCTAACAAGCGCTGCTCAATGCAGACGAACAGCCAAGTGATTAACGCGTTTGATATCAAGCCAACCAAAATGAGAGGCGAGTGTTCATTAATTACAAGCGCCCCTGGGGATAATTACCAAAATGGATCATCTCTCTTCTCATCACTCGAGTCAAAGTGATTTCCTGCTCAAATGAACATTGAAACGGTGCTCATCTCCTCTTATACAGCCCTCAGCCAGTGGTGGAAATTCCACATTCCTATGGCAGGGGTGAGTCTCACAATTGCACATGCATCGGGGATATCAATTCAACCTCTTACACAAGATTTGAAACAGTAATTATTTGTGCCATTGTCAAATTGTAAACAATTCCTACACTGAATTTTGTGCAACTTTTGGTGCCCTGAATATATGATTGGTTAAGCAGCTTTTTCTTAGAATAGTATTATTATTTATTTACCCAGGATAGCCACACTGGCTCCAAATACTCTCTTCAGAAAAGGCCTGCAGACATTGGGATGATTAGCCAAAAGCCATTACATTGTACATGGTGGCCCAAAACTCAGGCCAAAAAGGATTATTATATTTATTTGAACAAATCACGTAGGGTTATTTAATTTATTTTAACACTGACATCAAAAGATTTTACTGTTTTATTCTTTACGGTAATATTTGATCGATTATCACTTATTTTTCTTCTTCTTCTTATTCCTGTGGGGTCACCTCAAATCCGGCGTTAACAAATCTTGACCAAGAACCCCGAATGAATTGAGACAAGAAAACATATTTGAATAATACTGTAATCTTAAAAAAAAGTCCTAAATTAATGTAAAAAAATCATTCATGCGCGCATTAATATTAATCGAAGTAAGCTTGAACATTTGATAACATAAACCCTATGTGGTTTGTTAAAACAAATACAACCCCTATTTGCCCTGACTTATTGGGCCAGCCTGTATATTTTTAGCTAATGGACACAATGGGACTCATCACCGAGTTCTCGCACAATTGAACAGAACGGGCTGAATGGCGAGTTTATGCTTTCACCAGCAACGCGGCGGTCAGGCAAAGGGGTCGTGTCACCTTTGCATTGATCAGCGTGAAGAGATTGTGGTCGGGTGTCGTCTGAGATCTGTCCTGCAGAACCTCTGTCAGGAAGTTGAACTGTAACAACAAAGACCAAGCCACAGACAGCAGATTCAATTAGTTTCGTCTCAACAGTAAAGGCAAAGATCCCCCGTAAAGCCTTAACAGACTGTGGGGGCAAGTTCTGTTAGCGAGCACCTATGAAGGCCGGTACGGCACACGAGGGGGTGGGTGGCCAACACCACGCCCGGCCGCCTTTGTCTTCCTTGTGGAGATGTTTATACACCGCACCAGATACTCAATTCAGGCTGAGTCCACCTAGGGGAGGCCCAGGACCAGTTCAGATAATCATCACTGGTGTTGGCCGTGAGCGGGAATGGAACTTGTGGCGCCGGGTTTTTAGCACAGCGTAGCGCTAACCGCTACACCACCGGCTCTCCACAATACAGTAACACCGGTATCAGCAAAATATGCAATGTGGCAGAAGTAATGCAATTACACATTATACATGAAGTAGCGTAGAGAAATATGCCATGCTGCCATTGACGTGCAGATAGAGAATGAAGGACAAAAGTTTAAATAGTTGTTTTGCAATTTCTGTTTGTGTTTATTTAACTTCATAAAATGTGCACCTCTGAGTATCTACAGAGTGTTTTCGAATGTCCATGGCAAGCGTCGTACCGCTAGTCATATCAGCACAGTTGATAAGGTATGCAAGCTTTTGTATTGTATATAGTGTAATAGCCTGTATTAAGTGGGCCAATTGTCTTCAGGCATTATGGGAAAATGTCAAGGTGTCTGGCTGAACTATTATTTTGGTCAAATCCTTGTTTAGTTTCCAGGCTGGTTGAAGCAACTGTGAGACGTTCATAACACGGGAAGAAGAAGAATCTCACAACACCAGAAAAACGGAAAACTAAACGTAAACGCATTGTCTTGAGGTGTATTATCACGCAACTGGCAAAAAAACAGGAGATTTGCTAATGTCGCTAGAAGACTTCGCGGGTTGTTCGGCAAAGCGATCTCCTCAAAATAGGATGAGCCTGTATAAACTGAGATAGGTGGCAAAACCGAGCTGTGACACAGCGAGTGAGGGTGAGGTGGGTGAGGTGGGTGAGGTGGATGGGGTGGTGGCTGTAGGGGTCACCTTCTTGGTGTGGTCATGCTCGTCCGAGTGGTTGAGTTCTCTGCCACAGGCCTGCGCGATGCGCTTGCCGGCCACCAGGCTGCCCACCATCATCGAGGCGGGGCCCACCTCTGCGTGACGGGAGTGGGGCCGGCAGCGGCAGCGGCAGCGGTAGCAGCAGCAGCAGCAGAGGGCACGACGTGAGAACGGCAACGCAACGAGGGAGCGGCAACGCAACGAGGGAGCGGCGTGGCACGCAGCAGGAGGGGATCTCCTTGAGGTGACGCGCCTCAGCCGTGTCACAAGGTGTCAGGAGAAGCGATGGCATCTCGTATTCTTGTGTGTTACTCTTGATGACAGGGACAGGCCTTGTGTGTGGGATTTTTTTCCTACGTTATTTATATTCCCCGTTTTTATTTATTTATTTACCATTTATCAAAATAAAGTGAATGCCTTTAAAGCTGGGAAATAAAATGTCTCAACTATGGTCTCAAGATAGATTAAGCCGAGCAATCTGTCCTCACGCAGCTTGTAAATGGTGAGGTCACTTTTACACATTGGGTACTGCTCATTAATGCCCACGTTACTTAACCAATGGTGGAAATTCCACATTCTTACGTCAGCCACCATTCCATTCATGGAACAGCTACGGGTAACTTCTTGTAAACGTGGTGCTCATTTTATTGGCCCTAGGACAGAAAAAATTGATTTAACCGACCTCTAAAGAAATAATCTAAACTCACAACCTTTGGACTGTGGTCAGGCACCCCTGCAGGTGCCACCCAGCTGGTGTTAATCTCAGCTGCGGTGGTGTACAAGACAAGGGGTCAGGTCCACACCTGGCTGCTTCTGCCGTGGCTTGGGCAGGTTGGTGACGCAGGTGTGAGGACACATGAGGATGTTGCAGGGGTGCAGGGCGCCCTCCAGGAAGCGCTGGCGGCTCTCCGAGATGTGGACCCCTCCCAGCGGACACTTGGGCAGAGTGTTGGCTGGCACCAGCGCTAGGCAGTACACGCCCACCTGGTGGATGCTGTCTATCGCCTGCAGCAGCGCGCAGCACACAGTAAAGGAGTGGAGCTCGATGAATGGGGGGGAGGGGGGGGGGTTGCGTGCGCACGGAGGGGTTTATTCGTGAAAAGGGTACAAGCAAAGGCTCTGTATGGTTAATCACAGAGCCAAATAAATGTACAGCTCTATACTAGTAAAGGTCCACTGAGCTATATAGCTTTTTCCTTCGGAAGCGACCTGGCCACAAATGATAGCTCAACGAAGTGGCTTATCGTGTGGCAATTTACAGAAGCAGTGGAGGAAAAACCCGGAGGACCCGGAGAAAAATCCACGCGACCACGGGGAGAGAGATCATGTAATCTCCAAATTCACAGCAGATGCCGGGATCAAAACTTTGACCTGCATATTATCCTGCCTCCCCTCAATTTCTTGCGCATGTGTATTTTTTAATTTGACCTGGCTGTTGAATCCCTCCAAAACAGAATTCTTGAGTTACACTTATAGGTAATTCTACATAGATTTAATGAGTTTCCAAATAAATAATGTAATTGCTATGTGTCATCACAACAAATATCCATTGCCAAATAAAAGTAAATTAGTTTACAAGAGAGTTTTGCTTGATAATGAATTTGCTTTACGGTTAGTTTGGGTGAAGGTTTTATTTGGAATAAGAGTTCAGAATTTTACTTTCTTTAGCACTGGGATCATAATCAGATAATTGGATTTTGGGTAAATGTGGAGGTTAGAGCTCTGGGAAGACACCAACAGGTGGGGTGTGGTATAAGGGGGTGGTGGTGCATGGATCGTACTCGGAGGGACAATGGTGGCGGATGTAACGGTGAGAGAGTTCACCTGCAACACCCGACTCATCCACTGGAAGCAGTCGTCCTCGGACGCCTCGGGCCTCTGCTCGGCCACGACCACAATGCGGTCGTCTCTCAGCACGTTCACAGAAAACACGGCGATCCTGATAGCACCAACACACACACGCGCGCGCGAAACGACACGCTGGTTGCAGTGTGGCACAGCACGCAGCCACACGCCACGAACACGGCTATGCAGCGCAGCCTACGGCAATGTAAAAATACGCGATGCAAAAAAAAAAAAAACGCGATATCATTTTTAACATTTCATCGGACGGTTAGTTTGGAATATACACCAGCGGAGCAAACGTCAAGTCAACACACAAATATGCTAACGATGCGGCACACAGTGAAGCGCGCAGGGATTTAACAATGCACTCGGATACAATACAGCTGCGCACAGTGACACAATGCTGCAACGGCGTGAAGATAAACAAACAAAAACACCACGAAGCTTTCGTGACTGCAGGGATTCATATTCTTGGTTCTTTCGGTAAAGTCACGTAGAAGGGAAACAATAAAATAATAAAAATATAAAACAATAACATTATCACGACGTTTCGACTGCAACACAAGCAATCATCATCAGGTGTGAAAACCACAGCAAGAACATTTGAAAAAAGTGGCTTTTTTTAACGTTAGCACCACGGAGAGCGATTTGGCAGTTATTCAGATGGACGAGTCCATGAAGAAGAAACCTCTTGAGGAGCCTTTCAAAACCATCACTTTACCCTACATTGCGGGGATCACAAAAAATATCTCCAAAATCTTGAATAAACACAAGATCTAGGTCCGATTCAACACATTACATAAAATCCGTGATCTGGTTCCGTCTGTAAAAGATGTGATTCCGGACATACAGTACCCTGGCGTCTACAAACTAAGTTGCCTCTGTGGTAGTAGTTACATTGGAGAAACCAAACGACATGTCTCGGACCACATTCGTGAACACAAAGCAGACCTAAAACACGGTAGGACCAACACCTCGGCCGTGGCAGATCACTGTTTTAATTCAGCAGGCTCACATGACAATGACTTCTCCAAGACAGAGGTTCTTTGCAAGCCATCTGGCTACCATGAAAGATTATTTCATGAGGCTATCCACATATACAAACACAGAGACAATTTCAACCGAGAAGATGGATTCTGGCTTAGCAATCATTGGAAGGATTTGATAAACCTTTTCGGGTCTTAATTGATTGTTCACGCTTACGGTGGCTTTCAGACCGCATCCATTATTTTCGTCTCCCCCCTCCTCTTTTCCGAACATAGATGGACTCGTCCATCTGAATAACTGCCAAATCGCTCTCCGTAGTGCTAATGTAAAAAAAACGCCACTTTTTTCAAATTTTCTTGCTGTGGTTTTCACACCTGATGATGATTGCTTGTGTTACAGTCGAAACGTCGTGAGAATTTTATTGTTTTATATTTTTATTATTTTATTGTTTCCCTTCCCACGTGACTTTACCGAAAGAACCAAGAATATAAAAAAACACCACAATTCGATAAATAAATTAAAACGTCACAGAGTGCACTGCACTACACTCTGCAGCATAAAGGTCCGAAGCAATACAGCACACCCATTGATGGACAAGAGCACACGGCAAGTAGTGGCGGCACAAGGGCTGGCCAGCAATGTCATAAACCACGACACAAACATTAACACAGTACAGAAAAGCACACAGCTCAGCGCTGCAGTCTTCTTCTCTTGACGGCAGAACAGTTCGCTCTGTGTCCACGAGCCCTCAAGGAAGGTAACAGCCAATAAAGTGCGAAGCTCAACTTGTACTTTAGTTTGTGTGCAGTCATGAGTGAGTGGACCAAAACCAATCATCAAACCTTCTGCACATGTGAACCTGGTTTACCCATGGATGGCCACCCAGATTAAAAGAGAGAATCTCAGCCGTGCTGGCTCAGTGCTCCGACAAAAAGAATAGCCCCAGTAATAATTTTCACACAAAGCACAGTGTTAAAAAGCCCTGCACCCAACGGTTATGCAAAAAAAATAATCTTTAAGCGTTGGTGCTGTAAATGTATGTTACACAATGAAAGTGCGAATTCAGTGATTTGTGGATAATTAAAGTGCACACGAAGCGTCGCTACCAACATTCAATCGGTCCAGCTTGTAAAAACGTGGTCGTGAAAAGCTGCTGGATATTGCATCTCCTGGTGCGAGTGGGGCGCCAGGGTGGCGAGATGTTAACTACCTCGCCTGGTATACAGGAGGTCGTGAGTTTGATCTCGACCCCGAGCCGTGTATATTTGGAGTTTGCATGTTCTCTCTGTGGTTTTAATGCATTTTTCTCTGGGTCCTTCCATTTTTCTCTCCACATTTAGAATCAACATGCATTCCAGATGGCCGCAGAAGTGCATCTGAAAGCACGCGGTTTAGTGACCATCTTTACTCTTTGGTTCTTTCGGTAAAGTCACGTGGGTAGAAAAATAATAGATCACGACGCTTCGATCGCCACACAAGCCAATCGTCTTCAGACGTCTTCAGACGACTGCTTGTTTGATTGCTTGTGCGGCGATCGAAACGTCGTGATCTATTATTTTTCTACCTACGTGACTTTACCGAAAGAACCAAAGAGTATGGATTCCTGCAGTCACGAAAGCTTCAAATCAAGAGTGACCATCTTGTTCGATGGCTTGCCAAAAGCGACTGCGAGGATGACCGGAGTTCGCATTATGGTTTATGCTCCTTGACGAGATCAGCAAGGTACTGTGGTTCATTTGTGGCAAGCACTTTTGTGTGTAATGAGTGCGACCTTATAACGTATTCGTTCGGCAACCGTAAGCCAATGCAACTTGGCGAGCACTGGACGGACACGGTCGGATCTTGCAATACCCGTCACGTTGGGTGACCTTAACGGGAATTTCTAATCGTTGAGATTAACTGGGCGGCTGGTGGAAGGATGCATGGATGCAGAGAAACGAACACTGGCCTCGCGCCTGTTCCACAAGGGAGACACTCTTTGGTCTTTGAGCAAAGTTACACGACTCGGTTTTTTTTTTTGGGACACGTGCAAAGAAAGACAATTGTGTAAAACAGTGGCTTCTACACATTTCTACAGAATTGGATTTCAGGTCACACAGCACTTGGCTATAAACCAGCTGAGTGATGGTCAGGCACAAACACTTGCCTGACAACAGGAGACCAATGGTGGCAAGCGTCCCATTAAAAGCCATTATTAACGACTAAACACCACGGCAATCGCCAATGATTAACGGTTGCATACAGGACTATTGACCTTGATGGGCCATTATAGGTCTTGTTTTAACCTGAATGATACATTCACTTACACTTATGTCACTTAACAAGAAAGCAATTAAACAACTGAGTGTTTTAATTTTCAATACCATTAGACTCACTAAATGTTTAGCATCATTAATTGAAAAAGGTAAATAAATCAATGTGGTCGTCACACAAAAGCACATTCACAATTATGATGCAGCCTCCTCCCTCGACTATATATTGATCAAAAAAATACATCTATCAATAGGTTTTATTTCATTGCATATTCATGTATTTATGTACTTATTTTAGCCATGCATTTGGTAACATAAAATACATGTTTTCATCATTTAATTATCACCAAAGTAATTTTCACTTTGTGATTGAAAAAATGTTGGTTGCAAATGTTTTATTCTGTGTGCCACACAGTCAGTGATGGCGATAGCAAGTGTGGTGTGATTTGTCGAGCCTGGGTCTGCTGTCTGGCATCTCAGTGTACGAGTACGCGAGGGCGTGAGCATAGGAGTGAGCATGTGCAAGAGTGAGGAAGTGAGTGAGCGTGTGAGCATGTGAGTGAGTAAGTCAGCGAGGGAGCGAACCAAGCAGTTAGCCAGCGAGGGAGTGAGTGAGCGAGCGAGCATGTGAGTGAGCGAGTGAGCATGTGAGCGAGCGTGTGAGTGAGTATGAGTGACTGATCAAGCGAGTGACTGATTGAGCGAGCGAGCGTGTGAGCGCGCGAACAATTGAGTGAGAATGAGTGAGTGAGCGTGCGAGCGAGTGCACGAGTGAGCGAGCGTGCGAGCGAGTGTACGAGTGAGCGGGCATGTGAGTGTGTGAGCAAGCGTTTGAGTGAGCGAGTAAGCATGTGAGTGAGCGTATGCGTAAGCGAGCGTGCGAGTGAGAGCATGTGAGCGAGCGAGCGAGTGGGCTCACCGTCCACGGTACACCAGCTTGACTGGCTCCACAGCCAGCGCGGTGGCGATGACGTCGTCGGCGCTGTGCCTCCTGCCTGCGACCATCATGAGACCATCCGTCTTGCCCACGGAAAACATGAGCCCGTTCTGGAAGCACACGCGGGCGTGGCACCGCCATCGGCATCATCGTTTAACTTTTAACATTGCTCCCAATGTGGAATGAAGGCAAAACGGAATTACGATTAGTATGCAGCATCAATATCCTATAACAATCGTCAAGGTTTATAAAACGGTAAATGTAGTAAAATCATGTCCGTTAATTTACGAGGTTTAAAAAGACACATTAGATATTGTGCAATGGGCACCCTGGTAAAACAGAATAATAATCTGTTTACACTTTAGCTTCTTGGGATGCAGTTAAATTTAGACACTATAACCCAAATTGCATTGCACATTAATAACTATTTCGTAAACTCTTAACGAGGACAAGGATACCTACATGTAATTAAATATTTTTTATTTGCTGACTTAAAAACCTACTTGGCGTTCGAGGAAATGCGATGGAAATTCTCCAAAAGAATTACCCAGAGGTGGCACAATGGCTCTGAACTGAGCACGCCGACCCGACACCCTCTCCCCTGACGGAAGGCAACTGCCTGACACTCGCACTGCTGTAACATCGTATATGCGTCGGTTATCATTATTACAGACAATTGGCAAATTGAGACTTACAGGCCCAAGGAAGCCGAGCAGCCCAGTTCTGATGAAGGGATACTGGCTCACGGGAGACCCCGTGGCACTGACAGGAAACACCTGCACGCACAGACCAGCACAACACACAAACACACACGGCAGAACTCAAGACTTCCCGGCCAGCTCGTTATTGAAGCTAGAAAAGCAAATCACTGCTGTAATCCGTCTCTGTACACGTGTGGGAGTGGTGGTGGCGGCAGTAGAAACTGGCTGAATTTTTTAACACAGAATACAAATAAAGGTTACCGTGTGCGTGTGTTTTTATATAAATAAGAGTGGTAGTGCGCTAGGAACCTTGTGACCTGAGTTCAATGCCCGCTCACAGCCAACACCAGTGGCTATCTGAACTGGTCATGGGCTTCCCTTCGGTCGACTTAGCCTTAAATGAGTACCTGGTGCAGTGTGTAAACATCGCCACGAGGGAGACAAAGGCGGCCTGGCATGGTGCTGCTCAGCCACCCACTCGTGTGCCATATCAGCCTTCATAGGTGCTTGGTAGCCCCAAAAGTCTATTCGGGCTATACGGGGGGGGGCGGGGGATCTTTGCCTGTTTGTATTGAGATCTTTTGTGCAAGATTTTCTTAAATAATGTAACAGTTAACATCGTTACATAATACACGAACATGGCCAATGGCTGGACTGATGCAAATCAATCGTGTACGCCGATATTCAACGTAAAATTGTAAAAAAATACAATTCAAAAAGACTTGTCACGTTATGTGTGTAGGCTTGTCAGTATAAAATGTATGCACGTATATAATTTATCATGACATGGTAAACTAGCTAGCACGAACAATAATATATCTAGATATTTTCAACAAACGCGGGACCTGTTGCTGTTGAAGCACTTTTTTTTATTGGCATCACCGCGGTGCTGCTGTGTTGAACTGCATGCGAGTGACTGCAGGTGACATCATTAGCGTGCTACAATAATGCACTTGCCCATAGCAATCAAGCAGAATTGTTCATTATCATAGCATCAGACTCGTGTAGGACAGACAGCTCACAGGACATGCTGCAAAGGTCCATACCTACAAGAGCTGTTTGTTTTTAATGTTGCATATTGCTTCAAGTCAAGCACTCATATGCTTTCGCCAGCAAAAAAGAACACACAAGTGCAATCACAAGCCTTCGCCCTCTCCATGGATGCCATGACTTTGCAGGCACGACGAGGGTAGCATCGCCTCGCCCCCCCCCGCATCACATCCCGCTCTCGCGTCCCCGGGGAGCCGCGGAGAGTGAGGCTGCCGCGTCAGGGATAGCGGGGGGTGGCAGGGACAGACCGACCTCGAAGATGCTCTTGGTGATGCCGGGCAGGCCGTAGTACGTGGAGGCTGTGGATCGGGAGCTCACGCAGATCTCTCCGATCTCGTCCGTCCGGCAAAGCTGCGGAGGCCCATCCGGCTTGACGATGCACATCAATGCTGTGTCGCCACCAGGAGCGCACGCCACAGCATGTTGGCATTTGGGCATGGAGAACCTTCAAAGCGAGCTTTTTTTTTTATTTTAACCAGGTAAGGGCCACTGAGCTATATAGGCTCTTTTTCAGAAGTGACCTGGCCACAAACGATAGCCCAAAGAAGTGGCTTATGTTGGCATTTATAAGCGGCGGAATGCTCAAAAAGCATGTTTCTAAATTTTTGAGGAAAAACCCATGTGACCACAGGGAGAACATGGTCGAGATCGAACCCACGACCTCCTGTATACCAAATAAGGTAGGTAACGTCTCACAAGCCTTCAATTGTTCACTTGCATTCAGGGAGCGTGCAAACAGAGTTTCAAAAGGAGAGGAACACAATACATTCTGTATATTCACGTCACATTTCACTTGAACGTGTAACTGATACACTGCATGACCACTCAATTTGGTCACGCAAATAGCATAACGTTTTTAACAGGACACAATTCAATTTACTCTATATTCATCAAAGTGAATTGGTTCTTAATCCAACAGGAGGTTGTACAATGGCACGATATGTCAATATATTAAATATATCTATCAATCTACGTGGCTTTACCAAAAGACCCAAAGAATCCTGCAGTCACGAAAGCTTTAAGTCAAGATATTAAATATACTTTCATTTTATGCAATTTTACATGAGCAGACAAACATCGTTTGCAGTGTATGGGAGTATACAAGTACATACATACATTGTTCACAGTAAGAATTATAAACTCAAATTAGACTATAATAGGTTTTTTACCCTTTTTTATGGCAACAAAACAGGTGTTAAGATGTTAAAACACCAAACTGAAACCTTTTACAAGGAATCATGTCTGCATTAACCACAATACTTCTGGTCAGAATGCAAAAAAACCACTCTGATAATATATGCATTGTCCTTGAAACTGATTGGTCCACACAAAAAAAGGGGAAAACCCTATTATCATATTTTGGTACTGGCAAAGGAGGTCCCATGATGTAGATTCTCACCCCGAGCTCCCATTACTCTGATAGTGGCATTGTCTTTGGGCAGTACGCCTTTTGGCGTCCTCTGGTCTAACACCATTTGAGACGAGGCTCAAAAGAAAGCCGTCTCTGGTGTGGACCAATCAGTTTCAAGGACAATGCCACATATATTATCAGAGTTTGTTTTTTGTTTGCATTCTGACCACAAGTATTGTGGTTAATGCAGACATGATTTCCTGTAGAAGGTTTCAGTTTGGTGTTTTAACATCTTAACACCTGTTTTGTTGCCAGAAAAAAGGGGAAAAACCTATTATTATATTTTGGTACTTGCAAAGGAGGTCCCATGATATTTGTTTACTTTTATTTTTAATTTAATTCATCGCATCTAAGGGACAAGCAAGTGCAACTCCATGACAGCTACTAGACATTGGTGAATAAGAGCTTCATAGATCATCAGACTCCTCCAGTATATAAACAAAGATTCTGACACAGATATGTAGGCAGCCACTCACCGCCCGGCATGACGTTGCCGGAGTCTTGCACCGTGAGCACGGAGAGCTTCTCCTCCGAGTCGGCCCGGATCACGCCGAAGCTCAGGCCATGCATGGAGAGGACGCCGCGCCCCGTGGGCCGGCTGCCCTCTGCACCCGGCCTGCACAACCACACGCACGACAACGACGACGATGAGCAACGCCAAAGCCTCAGGGGGTCACTCTGCCCTGCTGATCTTAACCTATTAGCGTCATTATCAGCTATGATGTATCCACTGACACCAATCACGTATATCGGCCTCCCAAAGCCGTCGCTACCTTTCAGGGTCTTGCAAAACCAAAATGCAACGAGTTTTGCTGGGGTGGGTCTTCTGGATGGGCTCTGCGGGACGTTGCTGATGTTGACTAATACAACATCGTCCAGTGGGTGGCAAAGTCGACGGTACAAAACGAAAAGCTTCCGCGCACAAAGCAATTTTCATCGCTCGATCTCCGCGGTTGACATCGTCTTTGGCGTGTTCGCTTCTTCGGCTGCCACTCTGATTCACCGGCCATCAGCCTTTCTAGTAACATGCCCTGCCAAAGCTGACGTAACTTTCTTAGTTTAACAATGCAGGCTTTCGAGACTAATATTATCCATTATAGAGGTTTTATGGGTTAGATTAAGTAAATATGAATGTGTTGTTAAACCCACCACTGGCCAGACCCAGCCAATTAGTAAGGGTTGTCATGCAAACAAAACACAACACATTGGCATGTTTGTTTTTTGTGACAAACCTTACAAATTGTCTGTCAGGTGGTGGCATGTTTAACGACACATTTATCTTTATGTGATATAACCCAAAAAACCTCCATGGTTAGCTTTCTTAAATCACAACAAGTCAACATGATGTCAATGACCGGTTTACTAAAAGTGGGTATAATTTACACACGTAATACTGTATATTCAAAACAAATTCAAATCAAGCCAAAATAAGATTTCATTTCATGCTCGGATACGTAAGTTTACTTCAAGTGAAAAGCGCAAAATATCTAGATGAACTTGAGAAAACAGTAACGCGTGTGTGTTACCTGCGAATAGCCACAGTGAGTGCCTCTGGAGAGCTGGCACAGGGACAGATAGCATCTGGCTTCAGTCCCCTACTTTGGAAGGTGTTCAAGAAGGCATCGCAGGATGAGACAGACCCTGCAAAACAATAAAGAAGATCGCGTGCTGTTGCGAAAGCGAAAACACATTCTCATCACAAACTGCAGCGGCGCTTTAAGCTACGGGGCACGCAGGGCATGACGGACGTTTGCTCACTCTGTTTGTAAAAAAACTCAAACCCTCTCCGGGGTTAAGAGGAGCCATCCCTTGTCGGCCTCCGTGGATCAACCCCATTGATTAGTTAGGAGCGGAGCAAGCATGCATGTCGATTCCCCAAACGGCCGCAAGCCCACGATCGGCAGTCCGAGCACAGCGAAGAGTCAAGCACATTTGACCGAGGAGGAGCGTGGTCCCACAGGATTAAGCATGGCAGGGCCTTTGAGGTGCGTGGGCCCAGCTGGCTCATGGCACTGGCCGCCAGTAACAAAACACATCGACCCGCTCGCGGCATTCGGGAACCCCCCCCACCCCCGCCAACAAGCAGCAAAATCGTATACCCTTCTAACCAGCCTTGTAATTGTAAAGCAAAAATTAATGGATTTGATTAATAAAAACAATTCAAGGCTGATTTAAAGCTTTCGTGACTGCAATGATTCACCTTTTTGGTTCTTTCGGTAAAGTCACGTAGAATGAGAATAAAACCTTATAACAAAATAAGACAATAAAATTCTCACGACGTTTCGGCCACAACACAGTAGCCTTGTGTTTCGGCCACAACACAAGGCTACAACACAGTAGCCTTGTGTTGTGGCCGAAACGTCGTGAGAATGTTATCGTCTTATTTTGTTTTATTCTCATTCTACGTGACTTTACTGAAAGAACCAAGAAGATGAATTCAAGACTGATTATGGATATTCCAGCGTACATGAATTTCACGAAGGGTTATTCATTTTGGATTGTAAAGTACGGGGTGGGAGATCAAGGCCATCTGCAGCACCAGGTCATCAGGAGTGACAATTTTAGCAACAACAAGAAAAATATTAACTCATCTGCACCCCATCATGCACACGAGACAATCAATCAAAAGTGGCGATGCTCTGAAGCTCCTCCAGATGGCCAGCATTTGCAAAACCAAGAGGCCGCTCTTCCACTCTCACACCACGCAGCCTGGTGACCTCACGTGTGGGTTTTGTGTTCAGCAGCATTATCAGGAGGAATCACAGTCCCCGAGTCTTCAAAGTTTAAATGTCTCACTGCTCAAATGAAGATGGGATGGTACTCATCGCTACCGCCATCCATGAGCCGGTCGTAGAAATGTCACATTATTATGGCAGGGACCAGTCACTCCATAGCTAAACCCACTGCTCTAAATTGAAAACGTATTTCTTTCGAATAGTTTTTTTGTGTGCTTAGTTTGGTGTCCTTTCTCAGCACCTCCGATTAGCATGGTTTGCTACGTATGGTGCGAAAGAAGTTCAACATACATAATACACTTGAATCTTAGAACACGTAAAATGCTTCAACAATAACAATGGGAATGTTTAATGATTAAAGCCCAACAATTGGTCACGTATCAAAATATGCAAATGAAACAGGGAAACTACAGTTACTACTATTAATCTCACGAAGGCATTATCATATCACTGTGAAAGATCTGCAAAATTGTTTAAAAGATAAAGGCCCCATTTGTAATTGTCAGATGTATTGGGTAAGGTTGGCGTGGCATGAAAGCATAGCTTAGATCCCCTCATCACTAACACCTATACTTAGTAGTAAAGTATTAGTATTAAATGTATTCTTAAATTTCTTCTTTAGGCATTGGCTATTCATTATCACAATAACAAATAATGTAATTTGCAGGGCAAAAATGCAAAAGCACGTAAAAAAGCTTCAACATAATGTATTGACCAGAGCGCAAAACAGAACCAAGATAATACGTGCAGAATTTCCAGCACATCTCATAAAACAACACTAACACTATGTGTCCTTGCTTCTGAAGGCAAATCATAGGAAATGGAACTTGACTCGGATGCCCGGTGAACTAATCATGTTCATAGAGACAAAGCAAAGCACTCACTCGTGTCTGTAATCAGACCACCCCATTTACAGACTGTCCTCAGGCGGTCACAGATTTTAATTCTCACACAATAGCTACTTAGAATTCAGAGAACGCCTGCTGGAGAGAGCCATAGTATGGCGCTGCGATCCAGCAAAGTGTCAGGGAAACTGGTCCCAATTCCTATGGCATGAAAATTTCGCTCGTTTAAGAAAACACCGCGGGTCTAGAAGATCGTTACACGTGCAGTGTAAAATGAGCTCAAGCACCAGCGTTAAAAACATATAAAAAATATTCTGCTCGTGTGCTAGGTTTGGACAAAATACAACAATTGCTCCTCGGCAGAATGTCTAACACGAAAATAAAAACGGTGATAATATTGCAGTTGCCTGTTTTGAGAGGGCAGACTGCTTTGGATGGAAGGCGTTTGACGTTATTCACAATACAAACAAGCACACCAGCCCGCACGGGATTATGCACCTTGCTGCAATATGCTCATGCCACAGAGTGCCAAGCCGGTTGATGTCTGTGCAACCCGTGGGGTGTATTGGCAGCCTGTGCTCACACGACGTTTTTGCAACCCCCATTTGTCTGCAAATCACGTGATGCAAAGTGAAGTGATTGCACTTAAAATGTGTCCCAGCATCACGGTGCAGGCAGTTTTTAATCCACAATTCACACACAAATGCATGACCGTGCAAGAATGCCACTTTCCATTTTATATATAATTGTCAAATAACAAAAAAAACTAATTCCTTTTGTTTTGAACTCAGATCAGAAATATTTCCTTTGTTGCACGTTCATCAGGAAAAACACCAAGCACTGCACTGAAAATGAAAAGAGTGTGACAGCATCTGTAAGGCTAATAATTTACAGCCCTTTGTCAATCCACTGCTGGACAAAGGCCTCGCTCCATGCTGTGTCGGTCACGAGGCGTTTGGCTTGATCAAACTGCTTTGCAGTATGCCGGACACTCCCACGATAATAACAACAACAAAAAGCTCTCTCTGACAACCCTGTCGGCAGGCATCAGGAGGGTTTTACTGCACTGCTGTTGGTGCAGTGCTGGGATGGTGGGTGGGTGGATTGGAGGGGGTGGGGGGGGCAGGCGAAATGGTCAGGCCGCGACGACATCTGCCGTAAACACTCACAGGGGTTGGCCCCGTCGGACACGACGAGCATGCGCAGGGAGCTCAGGTTGACCTCGCGGTGCTCGCGGTGCGACATCATGGCCCAGTGCATGTCACGTGACTTGACGGTGGCCACGCCGGCTGTGGGGAGGGCGCAGCACGGCCGAAGCACAGCACAGCAACAAACGGCAATGCGCAGATGAGACGCCCGCGTCACACAGGAAGCGCTGCTTAGGTTTTACGTGCCGCTAAGGAAGCTCACACCTGTTGAATCCGGCCTACTACTCGTTACGATTCAACAAAGGCCACACTTTGTTCTGTGGGAGACACGGAGCTTTTTGCAGCCAGGCTCCGCGATTGTGGATTTCCCTTCCGCCTCGGTCCATTGAGAGAATCTGAGCATGTTACACTTTTTTAATCGCGTCTTAAAACTCACCTGTTTTTACAATAGGCTTTCTCCATAACTTCGGCTTCATGTAAAGCCCTTTGGGGCCTTGTGCGAACTGCGTTATAAGATACCGAGTTTAAAAATATAACTATTACTCCATTGGGCGTACAATTGCGGTAAGTGAATATACATTTGAAGGGGTTTTATTTTGTTTTTCAAAATGCACCCAATTTGAGATACTGTAGTAATAACACGCATTTGACATGATAATCTGTGACGTAGACTAACCCAAGAACAAACAAATGATTTCCGTTCACCGTTGAAAATGCAAGACTAAATAGTTTTGATAGCAGTGGTTTACACAGCACTGTGTTTAAATAGCGGTATCCGCTATAAGCAACATATTTTTTTAATGTAATGCATGTGAGGGTTGCCATTATCACACTAAAAGTTAAATAATCGGTTGCTTCACAGAAATTTGCCTTTTACCCTCAAGCCGAACAATATTAACCCCTTCCTTCCACAAGAAATAAAAACAAGAAAATGTTGTAATATGAAAGTATTTTTTTTCCCCTTTGCAGCAAAAAAAAAACCCAATCCATATTCAAAAGAGAACGGCGTGAACCGGCGAATGCCAAGCGATGATGCATCGCATGCACTGACAGGCAAATTTGTCTGCAAAGTGAACGATGGGTGCCCTGCCACCACCCCCCCTTTGTTCGCTGGTGCAGTTGCGCTCCCTTTCCACAGCGGTCACCTGCAGGCACAGAGGCCCACGGCGGCGGCTGCAAGCCACTGCGCCGCAGCCAGAAAGTGAGCACACGGGCATGAACGGAAGCGCTAGTCAGCTGTCGTGCGAGCCTTTGAGCGTAGCTTGACAGATGCGATGAATCGCCGCTCAAAGGCTGCGGAAGAATTTGGCTGCAAACGTCCCCAGAGCAGCAGTTAGTGGAGAGCCCATGTCACCACGCAAAACACTCGTGGGATGATAAATCAATACAATACACGTGGGATACTGGAATGTAAATGAAAGCATCATGTCAGAAGACAGACGGCGATTGTAAGAGTCTTTTTGATAGATCACTTGATTACAAAACCTAAGAAACCAGTAACATTTAATGAAGAAAGATTGCAGCAACATACAGTTTGAGCCAAGTTGACTCAATAAAATTGACAGTACGATGCGAAAAAGGTAACTTTTTATCGTGCCCTGTTTGTCAATTTACTTTGGGTCCATCTGCACAAAATAACATCCAGAAAAATGATAACAGTAGATTTGTAAATTGACCAAATGGTGTCAAAGGTATTCTTGACAAAGATGCAAATTGTTTGCAATTGCCATTAATTAACAGGTCCCTGCAGGGTGGGCTGGTAGGAACATTGGAATTTTGCGCAATTTTATTTTTACACCCCAACAGCACGAGATTTCACTTCGTTAAAGTATTGAAAGGGGACGGACGGACGGACACATTAATCTATTGCAGGCTGGTACACTCAGTTTACAACTTCGTTCCTACCAGTATAAAACGCCCTCTAATGATGTTACGATTGCGAGTAAAGCGCTGTTAAAGATTTCTAAGCGTAGTGGACCTCACATAAAAAAAAAACTAAATCTAATAATTATCACTACTACTATGATCGCAGTGTTCACGGTGAGTGTGTGCCACGACGGGAGTGGTGGCGACGGAAAGGTGTGCACCGAAATCCGTACCTTTAAACTGGCACACCTTCTGGATCCAGGAGAGAGGGTTCGCCTTCATGAGGGCGTACGGCACGCACACCACGTGCACCATGTTCATCACGCTCTGCACACACACACCACACACGACGCATTCATGGGTTTTGGCCCATCCTCCCCTATCACCTCTGCGGATCGCACTCACCCACAAGGGGGAGGGGGGGGGCACCTTCTCTCTGCCTTCATTCGTGGCAGTCAAATGTACACCCAAGGCAAGCTCTCAACACACAGAGAACATCAAGGGACAAAATTTGGCAAACTGGAATATTACCCTAAATAATTAAGCTGGAAAGAAAAGCTCCTGCCCCAGTACGGGGCTGGCAATCTGTAAAGATGAAAAGTGACATCATTGCAGGGCTATCCAACAAAGAATTCGATTTAAATATGTGCTTTGAGAACAACTCTTTGATTTTTTTTTAAGATTAACATTGGACTGAGTAGTTCCAATCTTGGCTTGAGTTGACAGAAGATTTAGCCAGAAATAATAAGGTAACATCTGTGAAAATACATTAAGTAAATCAAAATGTAGTTCATAATATAGTATATTAAATAATGTATCTATATATATATACGCAACTTCACTTTTACACGTGCAACATTTATGTACAGAACTTGGTACAAGGCATTGGGTGCCAAGTCTGTGCCAAAGTGCCAACCCAACCTCTGGAATTTAGTGCCATGGGGAACCCTGATTGAGAATGTGACGTTTGGATGGCGAGTGCTAAGAGGGCATCAAAACACACACTTGGGTTGGGGTTGGCACAATGTGGCATGTGTGTGGGATGTAACTGCATAGGTCTGCGATTGGTTGTGCCGAACAGCTCTCCGAAGTGTTTCATAATGTTATGGCAGCTTCTTCGGGAAGCGAATTTAGCTTGTAAAAAATCTTCGACACGCGGTCGTAAAACCAGAACAACACATCAAAGTGTGCGGGGGCGTTTGTGGCCACAGACGGCAGGGGTGTGAATCTCATAAAGTGTGAACATCATACCTGTATGTTAACTACACACAAGCCAAGTATCCACGTAGTTTTCCTGTTTGAAGGACTGTCGGATATGAATCAACTGTTGTGTTCAGTATGGAGCCAGTGGTGGAAAGCGCCAATTTCTGTGGCAAGGGAGCGTTTATCCGTACAATAACCACTGTTGACTCCTCACAAAGTGATGTCCGTTTAATCGACCGTAGAGGAATTTGAAGTCACATTCGGAAGGTTGTAATTGCAAATTCCTTTGGGGGGTTGAAAAAAATGAATACCACTTTGTGTTGTACCCATTCTCCCACACATCACTTCACCCCAGCTGTATAGCTGTAAAGAGTTTTGGACACGTGTTTACTGACTGCTGTGGTGGTGTGGTAGAGCAGCGGTTCGCGCACAGCGCAATGAACCAAACAACCTGAGTTTGATTCATGGTTATGACTAACATCAGGGGTATGTTATATCTGGGTCGGTCTTTGAGAACCACCAGCCTTCAACAACCCGCATGAACCAGCATGGGGAAGTATGGTCAAACAACAACTGACAAAGTGTGGGTAGGCGTTCATCCAGTCGTAGATTCACAGAGGTTTAAATGATAAGTAACTAAGATACTCACGGTTAGGACTCCATGCCATAGTCCCACGTCCCTTTTGAAATCCACGACGTTAATGAGGATGTCACCTGCACCAGATCAGGAACACATCGTGAAACAATAATAATGCAGCATTCCACATTTAAACTATGTTTAAACACAAATTACATGACAAGGATGAATGTAATAGTGTATAGTTTCATATTCTTGGTTCTTTCGGTAAAGTGACTTTACCGAAAGAACCAAGAATATGAATCCCTGCAGTCATGAAAAGCTTTAAATCAAAAGTGTATAGTTTGTTCTATAAGTAACATTCAAAAATGCAACCCTCCACAACAAGCTTAGCTTTAAAGTTTTGCTGAACAACAAAGGACGGACAACCTCGGTATGTGTCTAAAATATAAAAGATGTTTGTATTTTGGTTGCATCTTTGTCGTTAAGTGCACACACTATCAATATTGGCCCGGAGCTTGTACAGATAAAGAGAGTTGACTGTTTCTATGGGACCATTTTTGCCAGGATAAAGATGGTGAAAAAAAGAATAGGCTTTAGCATATCCGGCAAGAATACAGGTGTCAAGATGTTCAATCACAAAATCGGCACCCATCATAAGGGATCAAGTCTGCAACAAACAAAACAAGGTTGTGGTAAACCATGCAAACAAAAAAATACTTTGATAATGTATGCATTGTCCTTGAACCTGGTACAGGCCAAACAGTTTCAAGGACAATGCATACATTATTATCGAAAGCATGCTGTGCGGTTAATGCATTAAGCACTTTGAAAATAAATCTAAAAACTTACTTTTTAAAACTTTATTTTAATTAGGATTCTATTAATGTGTTATTTTTTTTATTATGCCTAGAAATTTGTTACGTGATTTAATTTTGCCTACAATTTCACTTTCATTGTTCATGCCTGTGTAGAGGTGTTAACTACTCACTGTTCGGTAACCTGCATTGCCACTAGGTATCAAAGGGGCAGTGCAGCGTTACCTCTGAGTACATAACGGTTGGGGTCAGACGAGGTGAAGTGGATCGTAGCCACAGTTTGGTAAGAACCAATCAGACAGTTCCACGTGGGAATGTGGGATTGGTTACACCTGGCCACAAACGGGTATAAGAAGGGTGACGGTGCAGACCGCGGGGAGTTCTCTCCCTACACGAAGACCGAAGCCCGGGCTGAAGATGGACAGGACCCTGGACCCTGGGCCCAGCCTTCCAGCCCTTCTGAGGGCTAAGGCTCAGCGTATCCAGTGGTCAGGAGCCGCTGGGCCAGCGGTGGGTCAGATAGCCTCCCCTAGGTCCCAGCCGGAGAACTCTAGGGTAGCGGTAGACGTGTGAGTAAGTCCCGCCAAGATAGGAGGCTGTACCTCCTTAGGTTAGCAAGAGACCTGTGTGTAGGTCACGCTAAGTCCGGAGGCTGTACCTTCTTAGGGTATCGGGTGAGGGGACCGTATACCCCTCTGTGTGTTAAGGACTGTGTAAGAGAAGTAGTACAATAAACAGAGTGTGCCTCATAAGAAGTTTATTCGTCATTATAAACACTACACCTGTATAGCACTATGTATTGCATTTTTTTGCACGACTAGTGCTATAGAAACAAAGTTTGATTGATTTGATACCATGTGAGAGTTGACTGTGCTGCGCATATACGCGCGATTGAAGCCCTACAACAAAGAGAACAGAACCACAAAGGTGCAGAGTCCAGATAATCGAGGCCATTGGCTTCGATTTGTGGGAGGCGAGTGAGGGAGGGGACGGGGGGTGGAGGGGACGGGTGGGTGCTTGCGATGCTCACCCTCCGTGTACCCGCACACTTGTGTGAGCGTCTGGCAGTGCGTGAGCATGGAGGCGCGTGACACGGCAACGCCCACCACCGTGCCCTCACGGCTCGTCTTGTACTGCACGCGAAGACAAAGATCCCCCCCCCGTATAGCCTTAACAGACTGTTGGGGCAAAGTGCTGTTAGGGAGCACCTATGAAGGCCAGCTCGGCACACGAGGGGGGTGGGTGACCAACACCACGCCCTTTGTCTCCCCAGTGGCGATGTTTACACACTGCACCAGGTACTCATTTGAGGCTGAGTCGACCGAGGGGAGGCCCAGCAGTGAGCTGGAATCGAACTTGGGTCGCCGGATTCATAGCGCAGCACAGCGCTAACCGCTACTCCACCGCTCCCGCACATGCACGCCGAGCACAGCAATCAGTTGCGCCACGCCATTGCCATTGGGCCCTTGGACACGCAATGAAATTGGGCCTAGTCTGGTCAATTTCACCCCTCTTCATAGCTCAGACACACCTGGGCCTCACTGGGCCGTGGGCCATTGTGCAGCTGCACCAACCTGCTCACTCGATGACTAAGCCTGTGAAAGCTATACTGCTCTGTACTGAATAAGCTGTGCTAATAAGCCCTGCATAATGCTCAGAGCATATGGAATTGTTCAACCCCATGAAATGATTAATCTTAAAAAAAAAAATACTTTTTTAACAACTGTCCAGATTACCACCCGGTTTTGCAATGAGACAAGGGTGGGCGAGATGAGCGACCTCACTGCACACTGGCAGCCACGCATCGACGCGGAGGGCTTACGCTGTACACGCATCGTCGAACTGAATAAATGCCCAAGCTGCAAGAACGGCCAAACTGCAGCAGCAGCGGCAACACGAGTCACATCCCATGGCTTAATTGGTACTAAGCCCCGTTAATTGCACCCAACTAGAGTATCTGTGTGCCGTATCCCAGCAAGCTGAAGCCTTAATCCAAACAATGTATGGAAAATCACACCAGCCTCTTCACAGCCAAGAACGGTTGGGGCAAAAATCCTTGAGTTGGCAATATTTTTGACAAAATAAGATAAACTTCAATTGAGAAACCAACTACCAAGGCTTCTCAGGCAAGACAAAAGCAGCAAAGACATCTTCTAACATGACAGTGTGAGATTACTGCAGGTCACCACATTTAAGTGGCTTGGCATAGAAATTATAATTAGCAACAAAGGGACCATTTACATCCCGACGATTCTCTCTGTGCGGGTTAGGCCCTTCAGCAGACTAAAGGAAACAGGGGGAGACATTAAGGTCACTGTAGGAACAGAACGCTGTCTATGAAGAACAAGGCACTGTACTCAGCGTGGCACATTGATGAGAGAGTGGCAAACTGGGCAGCTTTGAGCCGGAACGTTTCGTGGGATACATCGGGGCACTGCAACCTCTCGTGTTTGGATTTAACGACAGCCATTGTATACGACGGGCATGACGTGTCCCACAAGATCTACGATTGTCCACGATTAACAGGAAACAAAGATTATCTGAAAATGTACATTTCCAACATCTTCAACTTTGCATTCCTACAAGGCATATACAGGCAATGTTACTTCTTCTTCTTCTTCATCCGTATGGCTGATGTAGATGCCGAGCAAAAACTACAATTTCGCATTCAGGTGGTCAAGCCAAATAACCGTGCCAGCAATGTTACTGAACAGAGGACACACACATTATGTAGTGAGGGTGTTTAAAGTATAGAGCAGAAGAATATTCCATTTACTCTATGCACTTCATGACAAGGGGTTTACAGGCACAAATTAAACAGTGAACCACGAATGACAACCGAACCGCGGAACAATCACCTCGATGTACGCCGCGTCACTGTTGCTCTCGCGGGGATTGGCGGGCCAGTCTTTTGGAGGCTTGGAGAGGTTCTTAGAGTCGGTCACAAACCACGTGAGACGGGGCCAGCCTGCGGACCACACGGAAGCGCCGAAACCGGAGACATCAACCAAACACGAACCTTCGGTGGCTTCACTCGACTGAGAGTGAGGCCGACTGTCTCTCACAACCGCGCTCACGCCGCAAACAAAGTGCCGAAGCAGAACGAGATGTAAGTTTCCATGGGCTGTTGGGGTGATGGGGGGGGGGGGAAGATATCCCACAATGCCTTGCAAGCCACCAAACTGGTACTCTTCTAATGTATTAGCAGTTACACAATGTCGTACCTGGATACTGTTTCAGCCATAAAGTGGAAATCCTCCTGTCCTCAAATGTACAACGTGATGGTGGTGTTATCTCCATTCGCAGTCCTATCCCAAGTGGTGTAAATTCCATGATACCACAAACTGCCGAGCCAAATTGCGCTGGTGGGGAATTTAATTTATCATTTAACATTGGCGTACATGTCTGCAATATTTTTCATACATCTCACGTGACAGTCAGTTTTTTGCTCCGATTTCTATTCGCTTCATCGCTGTGCTCAACTTTATTTGCTTTGCCGTTGTCATTTTGGTGACCCAGGTCGCACTCACGGAAATGAGACTCCTTTACCCTGGTCCCTTTGAGTCATCTACCTGGTTCGACAGGCCACACTTGCCGTTGCAACAGGGCGACGAGACTCGCCTTTAAACGTGATGGTTTCCCCCGTGGGGGCCTTGGGCAGCCCCTTGAGGCACACGTCGCTCGTCAGCGCCACAGAGATTCCACAGCTGCCCAGCAGGAAGCCAATCTGCTGGCTGCCAGCATCCTGCACAGAACACACACACGCCCGCGCGCGCGCCACAGGGCAGTTCAACGCTTGACGGGGCACTCAGATGAGGTCACACGCTTGAGCAGCTTACCAAATTAATTCGCTGCTAATTCTATCTGGCTGCCAGTCAAGTGTTTGAAAATATAATAATAGAGATTATTAACTAATACGCTCTCCAATGGCAGTGGTTGAATTGTGGAATCAAGTTTCCAGGCCTGGTAAAACCGCATTTTGTAACGGTTTATCAGGAATCAATTAATACTTTAAGAATAGTGCACTTTGTTTATCCGTGAAGGCCTCACTGAAGCCTAGTTGTAGCATTAAGAATCGTTTTTCAGGAGGGTCCTGCATTCAGGCATTCGGCCAATTCCTTTGTGAAGGAAATGGAAGTAACCTGGAAAAAACCCACACATACAAGGGGGCAAAATACTCAGAGGTCCACACGGATATATTCATGAATCCATTGTCTCCTCGCGACCTCACAGCCAAAGCCTTAAATATCTGGTATCCTACGCAGTCTTCTAACCAATTATGAACCAAGTTCAAATCCTGTGCAGCTTGCAAGATCTGACACGATTGAGCGGAGGGTAACTTAAAACTCGATAACATAGTTCCATATCTACTCAATAGAACAGTTTAAAAAAATGGTATGCTTAACAAAACTTGCTTTGAAGCAAAATATGCATTTCTTACCAAAGCTTTACTGGCCATACGCAATAAAAAGCAATCCAAAAATATACAAAAGCTGTTTTCCCCAAAAAAATACGACTACAATGCAAACACGTGCAGCATAAAAGCTGTGAATAGTCCCAGTCTTGTAAATAGCTTTGTCTGTCTTATACTCACTGGATAACGGCCATGGTAGGGCATTTACAACACGACTGGGCAAAAATATACAGATGTCAAAGTTCCTGCCTGGTGGAATGCAGCGCATGAATAATGGGCCTCTGTGTCTGACGGTTGCTACTTTGTGATTAACGTTTCTCAGTGAAATTAGAGAAAGGCGGTCGTCATTGAGTATGAAAAGACTATTTAAAATAATAAAACCAGACTACTTTAAGCGATGCTTTGTATTATTTGCTGTCACATTTCCAAGCAACTCAAGTTTCTCGGTCACTTCCAAGGGAATGTGGCTCTGACCGCAGACTGCTGTAGGTGACCAAGAAAGCATCATACTGCTTTTTGCTCAGCTTGTTGTCCTTCCCCCGCACCTCTGATTAGCACGGGAATCCACGATTAGCAACGGTTGGCTACATACGGTGCAAAAGAAGTTCAACATACATACGTACACACACACATACCTTGCTCGTCAAAGGCACCTCGATGGGCACGGGGATGAGGCCTCCTATCAGGCAGCCGTAGAAGGCAACGACAAAGGCGGCGGGATCGCTGTTGGGGTAGACCAGCGCAACCTGAACGAGAACACAACGGCGCTTTCCGTCAGCATCCACACGATGCCCGCAAGGCCTCTCTTCACGTGGCAGGCGATAACACAAAAAAAAACCCATGAGAGTTGTAATATTGAGCATGACAGAACCTCGGCCGAAATCAAATCGCGCAGTGTCCGTGCGGGCGAGTAGATGGGGGCCACCGCTGGATCATATGACCCACGCGCATGTCAATGAGAAGGGAGTCGCCCCCACAATGTGGATTTTATTGCAAAGTATTCAGATGTGGCGCTTGCTATCCGCGACTTTATTTTTCTCTTTGATGGTAACCCTAGGCGCACAGACACCATATATCTCCACGTTAGATTATTTAAAAGATTCTCATGTTTTTGTATTCTCCTCTCTCTCTTCTCTTCAGCTGTCCATCGCGAATGATGACGACTGCGGAGAAAGCTCTCCACGCCTTGCTAGGTCACTGTTTTATTGTTACTGCTAGAGATGCCGTTGATTTAACGTGGAACCAGACTGTGTCCTGGCAATGCATTTTTTTTCCTCTCATATATGTATGTATGTTGAACTTCTTTCGCACCGTACGTAGCCAATCGTGCTAATCGGAGATGCGGAAGTAGAGATGAAAGACCTCCAAGTGAAAGGTGATATATGTCTGCATATTAGGTCAGGTTATATGAAAGTTGGAAAGATGAAGGTAAGACATTTCAAAGCTAAGCTGTGCAAGGAAAACAAATCGATGAAATAAAAAATGCTGCACTGCAGGCGAGACAGCTTCGTGTAGTACGGACGGCAGCAATTGGCCAAGAGTGGGGACAGAAAATCAGAGAAGGAATGATGGAATGGAGTTCATGAGAGCAATGGCCGTGAAAGTAATGGGAGACCAGAAAGAAGTGGGTAGCAGATTGATGATGGTGGGAGTGGTGGCCGTGGATTAACGAGCGTGGAATCATCGGGTGGACAGATATACGATTGCAGCAACCCAATCGCAAATATGATTGCAGAATTCCAATATGAGACGGACTCGTGCTTGACGTAGCAGCAGAAGCTATCCTGGCATGAAGAACGATTTTGCACAGTGTGTAACTACCACACGAAAGTGACCTCATCAGCAAAGGCGCAGTCCCTTTCGCACGGAGGAGGCAGCAGCAGCATACTCACCCTGTTGCCGGGCCGAAGGAGAGGCTCTTGCTTGGTCCCCAGCTTGTTCAGCAGTGTGTATGCCAGCTTCAGACTCTGCTTCCACAGTTTGCCTGCACAAAGAGAAAGATCCCCCGTGCAGCATGAACAAACTGTTTGGGCAAGTGCTGTTAGCCAGCACCTACGAAGACCGGCACGGCACACGACGGAGTGGGTGGCCAAGCACCACTGTCTCCCGAGTGGCTATGTTTACGCGTTGCTTCAGGTACTAATTTCAGGCTGAGTCATCCTAGGGGAGGCCCAGCACCGGTTCAGATAATCGTCACTGGTGTTGGTGGCCATGAGGGGGAATGGAACCCGGGTCAACGGGTTCGTAGCGAAGCGCGCTAACTGCTGCGACACTGCAGGAAGTGCAAGAAATCCGCCCTGCTACAAGTTCTTACACTTTCTTAGGCATTTGGAATTGGCATTTCGATATGGTGATGCCGTCCAATACCAAACTAGAATATAAAATGTAAAATTAAATACCACAGGAGTTATAGCCGCTTGCCAACATTTTATCAGCCTTAGTCGTAAAAACAATGCCAACTTTATTTTAAAATCATGGGCACAGAGTAAACTGGAAACATGAAATGAGTGCAATAATAATAATAATGATCATAAACACGAATTGTGCATATGTGACTAATTACTGGTAAGCTGAGATGACAATGCAGCGACTATAACTCAAATATATCTTTGTCCAACTTACGATCAGAGTTACAATTGACTGCGCTGACCAGCCCGGTGGTTGTAAGTGTACTGGCCGCGGCCTGCACACTCTGACTGTCTACGTTGTGTCTCACAAGTGGATAGAAATAGCCGGAGCCACTCTGGCCTCACGTGAGCTCCGTGCAGCTGCCAAAGAAGGGCGGCCCCCCATTTGTGCAACACGGCGGCTCACGCATGGAATTTGCAAGCCGAGCGATCACTCTGCCGTCTCGTGCAAAAGCAATGAGCTGCGGGAGTCAATGCTTTGAGCACCACTCTGCCAGGTCACGACATGGCAAAGACAGCCGTTTAATGTCACAAATGTTCCTCGGAAACGTGCCTTTCTAGCGTCAAGACGGGCTTATCACCCGCACTGTCGCAGTAGAAGCGCATTTACACGAGCTTGAATTTCCAGTGGTCTGCAAGCCCTGAGTACTACTCCCGTTTGAACTATCAGGGCCGGACTTGAATATCCCTTGAGTGCCCGGCGGTAGCATGACCTAAATGTTGATGCAATCCAGGATTGAAACAAGTTCCCAAGTTTGTCAGCCTGTGTGTGTGCTGCTATTCCTGTGAGTTCCGTCACTGGCGGAGAGCCTGCATACACGCGAAGTGGAGGCAGTCTGTGCTCTCGGTGGTAACAGCTGAGAGGGCTTTTGTGGGTAAACACGATTGACCTTTGGCTCCACCACCGTAAACACGTTCAGACACTGCGCCACACAGTCCTGTCTACAATAAACGACAGCTCATTGTTTGGCCAGAGGTTCCAATTATAATGTTCAACCGTATTTTCTGAAACGTATATATCTGTCCAACAAAGAGTCAGCTGAATGGCAAAGTTGGTGTTTCACGAATAAATGTGGCAGTAATTTTAATTTATTTACTTATTTGATTTATTAAAACAGCAAAATTTTTTTTAAAGCGTTCCTGGAAAAAAAGTGAAAAGTGATGTTAATTTAATTAAACTATTTTAGACAATGGTATGCATTAATTTAAATAACGTTAAGTTACAATAATTAAACTCTCGCATTAATTCAAGGGCATCTGTTTTGTTACAATGTTGCATGCTGTTTCGTGTCAAGTTTATTACCAAACTGTGGCCCAATACAACCCAGAACAAGTGAGTCTCATCTGTACATACCATGGCCGACCGCACATTTTAAGACAACATTAACGATACGCAGCATGCGTGTAATTCGTGGCATTACCATGCTTTGTATGAGCAAACACCACAGTAGGGTGGCCCCGTGGAGTTTCTCTGCACTCATGCATTTTACACTTTGGTGGAGTCACTTGCATGAAGGTAAAAAATACAAACATGCGTGCCTTTGCACGGGGGTTAAGATTTGCGCTCCGCAGTTCCCTGGCAAGCTGTGAATTTGACACAAATCTCAATGGAATCAGAGGTCAAAGGTGGAGGTCAGACCGTGGGGGGTAAGCGGGCCAGGAGACATGGCCGAAGGGCACCGTACCGTAGGTGAGCGAGCACTGGGGCCGGCCAGTCGTGTCCAGGGCGGTGAGGCACAGTGCCTTGGCCGACTGCGTGGCCCAGCGTTGCAGGGCTGCCTCCAGCGAGGGCGGCCAATTGGTCACCACTCCCAGCGGCTCCCCCTTGACGGGGGTTGTCTGCGCACCCTCTGGCTTGGGCTGGTTGGGGTCGGGTTGTGGCACTGCTCATCGAGCGGCATGCGGGATTGCACACAGAAGCACCGCGTCATCTCTCGCAGCAACGTAAGAGACTCGGTGTGCCACCGAATACGCGCAGCGTCATAACGTGCCGGCTGCAGGGCTGGCAGCACGGGTGTCCTAGTGGTCATCATGTTTACCACTCGGCCACCTTGTCCGGGGTTGAGAGTTTCATTCATGCAGGTCGTCAAAGATTTCTTTTTTCAAGTAATTCGAAACAACAGTGTGCTGCAAAAGTGGACGTTAAAGACCCTTTCACAATCATTTGCTAGAACAGGTCACCGTGTTCAAATTTCAGAGTTGAAAATTACCCGCTTTGTTTGCAAGAGATTTGATTGACAACACAACATACATTATAAAGGTGCAAGGGCATCAGGGGCTGAACCATGCTGGAATTGTACAAGCTCCCCTTGTGAATAGTCCGTATAGTTTGAAGTTACGAAACAGCTGACCGTGACATTTCATCTCGGGCAGACAAGTGCACTGCTTATTGTTTCCTTGTTGCATCAAATCGATACCGACATGCAGGGCAATGCTACCCAATGAGGCCAGCCAGAGGGCACAGCAGCAGCAGCAGCAGCCCACGCACAGATCTCACTTCTCTTTTACTCTTCCATCTCCAATGCCGCCTAGACAAATAATTCGTGGTGCGGGAACAGCCCAAATCAGGTTAAAAGTAAATATTTCCTGAAAGAATGGCAAACCAAAAATTATAATCCCAACGCTTACTCTGCACACTGGGTGCCCACACACTAAACCAGACAAGGCTTACTTTTGCAGGCTGGAATTTAGTCTTGTTCGGGTATTATATGTATAAGCAGCACTCAAATGAGCAATGTTTTTTTTGTAATAACTATGCCATAATGTTAAGTTGTTTCCTATAGCATGTACTGTTATTAGTGAACTGCTCATGCAGATGAGCTATCAGTCACACTTCCCGTAACTACTCCAGAATCACACGTGTTCAACAACAATGTAATGGGCACTGAAATATACGGAGGTTACTTGCTTTGAACAACAGCTGTCGTCTCATACAATCAAGGCACAGAAGCCCCAACACACTAACCGGTGTGCAACTGAAAGGTGCTGCTACAAACATGCTATTTTAAAATATATATGTGAAAAACGAATGCCTAAAAAATAAATAAAGATGCAGGTGTTTTTCGGGGTAATTAATGGTCGTTAAAGCCATCTGTGCAAGTTTAAATATATGTTAATATCCATTTCTGCTAATTCTCCATGACTAGTCACTCTCCGTAAATGCCTTAATTAGGGCGCCTCTTTAAGGAACACAATGAACTAATTGTGCTAATGGCAACCGCGCGGCGCCGTACTCGCAAGCACGTGAATCGGCGCTAATGATCAACACACCCACCTGCACACACGGCACACTCTTGTGGCAACCAAATGCCCAATTTATATCGAGATTTGTTTTATTAATCGCCTACCATAAGACCCAGCCCTCTGCCTCCATAGCATTCTTATAAATATTGTCTTAAAAATACAAGTTGTGTTAAACTACACCTACATGAACCGTGGAAGAGGTGTGGGTACTGCACTGGTCATGCAAACAAGACACGGTGAAGGGCCAACCGAGCGCCACCCCAGCACCACGATTGATGCCTGGATGCATGATCGAGTGAATTCCAAGCAGAACACGCAAAAGGAACACTCCCATTTATTTTTCATAAAAAAAGAGCAAAGCTCTAATTACCCTTGATTTTGACATCACTGCAATGGGGCACATACTCACGGGGCAAAGTAAAATGAGGGAAAATGTAGGCATCAGCACTGAACATGAAGGTCCCTGAGACTGCTTTAGCTGAATACTATTAGATCTTATGGTCAATTTCACGGCCGATTCCGTCTTGTTTTGCTGCAGCAAGTCGCAACACACGGAGCAGTCAAAGCGCAGCGTTCAGCTAAAAATCACACGCAACGGCACCGCAAGTGGTGACAGTTGGTAATCCGCAACCCCCGAGTGGTACCTTCCAAGAGCTCATCAAAGTCGTCAACAAAGAACTCTTTGAGTGGCGGCCGCTTGGGCCTCTTGAGGGTGTTGAGAAGCTGCTGGATTTTGGAGGAGACTCGGCTGTTGACTGGCATCCCTGGACCAGAGGAACACAAAGACTCAACACCGACGACATAAAAAAAAAATCCACACTTCTAAATCACATGAGCAGAAGGGGGGGGGGGGGGGACCAAAAAATCCAACCATTGGAGCCTCCAAGCAAATATATGAAAGTACAAATGTTTCATCGATAACATGTGCCAAACTGTAATATTCAAGAATGCTTCAAAAGTCAAAGTACACTACATAAAAATTGTTGTCAATAGGCAGTTGGAAATTCCAGGGTTCAGATTATACCAAAGGACAACCAAGCATTTATTTTATACCAAGCACTGCTCTCCCAGGCGATGAACATCTTACTAACGCCACAGGAATGAGGGCCACAGGAATGAGGGCCACAGGAATGAGGTCCACATTCAGACTTGACCAGGATGGGAACTCACGTTCTCATAGATGGGAGCTCTGCTGCTCAAACAGCTGTTTTAATATTTCAGCCACTTCCTCAACATTGCTAAACTAAGTTTAGAGTTCCAAGTTCCATGATTTTATCTGATAAAAAATATATATAGGGGCATTTATCCACATTTCATTCCTTAACTTATGTTGTTGTAAAAATAAATTACTTCATGTGAAAATATTTTAGTTTGTAACTGTGTCATGCGAAATGAGAATGAGAAAACAAATGCATAAAATGGAAACGTCTGTGTGCAATTAAAACTCAAATGTTCACTTCAATGCAAACTAACTTTTAATATCATACATTTTAAAACCTGTGTTTCAATGAACTCTACCTCTGATCAGCACGGTTGGCTGCGTAAGGTGCAAAAGAAGTTGAACTTATATACATTCAACATACATATTTACATGAAATGCAAGATCTAAAACTGGAGAAACATATTGAATATCATCAAGAATTCAAGGAAATAACATGTGGTACCAAGAATGGTCGCCATACAAGCTATTTCATTTAAAGATGTTACACTGAACATTATACTCAGTACACATAACATACGACTTGATTTATTTAATATGTTTGGGACCACACCTTTTAAATGTGTATTTTGCGGATAAAGTCTAAGGTTTTCTAAAACAACACACATTAAACACTATCACATGGCACGACGCTGGCGAGATGTCAACTACCTCGTCTGGTATGCAGGAGATGGTGGGTTTGATCCTGACCCTGACGGCTGTATATTTGGAGTTTGGATGTTCTCTCCCCCTGTGGTTATGTGGATATTTCTCCGGGTCTTACAGTTTTTACATGCACGTCAAGAAGCATGCATTTCGAATATATGGCTGCAATACATTTTCACATAAGCCACTTCGTTGAGCTAGCATTTATGGCCAGGGAGCTTCAGAAAAATAGCTATATCATCTGTGGGGCTTACCTGGTAAAATAAGAATAGTAATAGTTTAGTTTAAATATTACGGCTAGAACGTAAACAGGATTCATTTACAAACCTTTTGCCGAAGGACTGGGGATGATGGCCATGTTTCTACACAAATTATTACCCCTGTCAGTCCCTGGCCATTATCACTCTTGCCCTGTGAATCCTCACAATTACAAAACCAATGCCCATGTCAGGCTAAAAGTGGCTAAATAAAGCTGGCGATGAGCTGTGTTGGGAAAATAATTAAATCTTTTACTTGGGCCAAACATGGAAAAACGTTGCTTTGTTACGTGACCGCCCAAGTTTCTGAAGGTCACTCATCTAACCAATGCACCATTACACTCCCCAGGCATTGGCGGGTGGTTGTGTCGGGCGCCACACGTACCATTGCCGGTGTCCATCATCTCCGAATGCGCGACCCTGGAGTAGCCCCGCACTGGGGGAGGGTGCGCCTCCGAGGTGTGGGTCGTCACGTCGGGGGGCGCGGAGCGACCGTCTGTGCAGAGAACCGGCGACGCATTAGCGGCACGCGTGGGGCTGCCGCCTCGACGCGCGGCTGCACGGGCAGCAAGGCGGGGCAGAGACGCGCACGCGCGAGCCGACGTTTTAATCGACATCCACCGGTGTTCCTCTGGGAGGTGGCCAGGGTGGGGTCTTAAGAGATGCGGACTGCTCTTTTTAAGCTCTCAAAGACGGTAGCTATGGTTGCACGTGTAATGATGCGAGCGAGTGTGTCTGATGTGTCGTAAGAGAACAGTCATGGCCTTTACGAGACCAGAGAACCGTTGTAAGGCTGCCACGCAAACCCATGTGGAATGTGAACCACTGGCGCCTGCGTGCTCCTTGTCGGATGTACACAGCGCACTGATTCAAGCCACTTTGTTGGTATTGTTCGAGCCGCCCCAATGGCAAGAACATATTAAGTAGGCGACGGGAAGTCGTGGGTTCGAACCCAACCTTGTCGCCTGTATATTTGGAGTTTGCATGTTGTCCCCGTGGTTGTGTGGATTTTTCTCCGGATCCACCATTTATTTGCCTCCACATTAAGAAACATGCGTTTTAAAGTATTTAGCTGCTAGGAATATCCACGTGATAAGCCACTTTGTTGGGCTATCATTTATGGCCAGGACACTTCTTAAAAACAGCCCAAGTGGGCCTTACCTGGTAAAATAAAAAAGTAGTTTTGTTTTATAGAACGAATGGCAGGGAACCACTTATTATGAGCAACCACAACAAACAAGCAATGAACTAAGAAAGGAGCAAGATGACATGCATCTGTTCGAGGCACGCCACGGCGAGCGTGCCGCGCTGGCGAGCTCACCGAGGTGCGTGTGGGCCATGACGTCGGCCAGGGCGCCAGGCCCACCGCGGCGTTCCCGCTCGCCGTGGCTGGGCCCAGGCGTGGCCGTGGAGGTGTGGGTCGGGGCAGGCCCCGCCTGGGAGGTGGCGCGTGGCCCCGTGCTATGGGACGAGGCGGAGGAGGCAGAGGAGGACGTGGTGGAGGTGCCCTGCTGAGGGAGTAGACACAGCCGGGTCAGCAGTCCACACACGGAGGGACGTCCAACATTTAGACTGGCCGAAGAACTTTATCTGTGTATTCGCTCATTCATTTGGAAATACAGTAATACACCAGTTTACATCGGGGATGCGGTCTTGAGAGGTGTGATGAATATCGGAACGACGTAAATCAAAGCAATTTATAGGGTAGGTGGAGGCGAAGGCCGAGGCGACGGATACGACAAAAGATGGGTGTTGTCAGCCACGTAAGAGTGTGGGGGTTGAGGTGACGCAAATCAGGTCGTTATATTAATAAAGTGACAACGTATTTGCAAAACGCCGTAAAAGGAAGACACGTAAATCGGGGTGTTACTGTATTATTCGGCAAGCATTGCTTTTCAAATTAATTCCACGTGAATAAATGAAGGATATTATTAACCGGCTGTAGCCACAAATATTTCACATTGTGTTAAGCGGTCCATTTTTATTCAGTTAAAAACTCCTACATTCAAAACAAAGCAGTTGGTATTTCCACGCTCACTGGACGTTGTTTATCTCCAATTACGACCTTGGAGCTTGGTAACAAAATTCTACATTTCTTTGGGAAGAATTACAATCTCTTCATAGGATTACCAGTTGAAACCTTCTCATGTTGTTTCAAGTTATCCGACAGTAGCACAACTCGGTTAGATTAAAATTCTAATGAGCTTGCATTGTAATTTTAAATACCATTTTTTGTCAACTCCATAGAAAGCTGCCACATGAAATCAGTCCATGTGTTCACGGTGCATCCATTCATCATTTTGTGCACTTAGTGTTTCCCGAGCGAACACGACGGTTTAATGCCGCATGGCAGATCTATAACCAGGCTTGAGTTTCACAATGCTGCAGACACGGTTTTGATTTACCACTGGTTTTATGTAATGATCTGAATCTCCATAGCACACAAGCAGACATACACTACTAGAATGTTAACTGGGGAGAAGTTCAAAGAGTAACATGCGTAGTGATTTTCGTTGAATAATGAACTCTGAATAAATATTTTAGCAACAATTACAACAGCAGCCTTCAATGGGAAAGGGCAGATGGCTCACTCATTATACCAGGGGGTCGGCCACCTACAGCTCTGGAGCCACACGCGGCTCTTTAAGGACTGCTTAGTGACATCAATCACATGCTTTGCGGGCTCATGAAATGTAAAGTTTATTACCGAATTCGAAAAAAAATGTCTCTCATTGTGATTTTGGTTTTGGCGAACCCTGCGTTAATTATACTGTGAACCCTAAACGTTTCCCCCCCGTTTTGTTTTTTTGAGGCCACAGCCTTTGTGGGCAGGTCAGAGGTGTGGTGAGGGGGAGGGGTCAGAGTGGCACTTGTGTCACGGTCCCACCTGCATGGCCTGGCTGATCCAGCGCTCCACGTTGAGCGACCCCTGGCCCAGCGGATCCTGGGACCTCCGGCGGAGAGAGTTCTCGTCCTCGGAGGCCGACGACGTGTCTGTGGGGCCCACCACGACAGCGGTGAAGCAAAAAACCCAATTCCAGTGCCCGTAAATTCGAACACCATTTTATTTTTTAACCAGCTAAGGCCCAATGAGCTATGTAGTTATTTTTCAGAAACGACCTGGCCACAGATTATAGCTCAAAAAGAAGTGGCTTATCATGCGGAAATGTATAGCAACCAAACACCCTAAATACACGTTTCTAAATGTGGAGTGAAAAACCGGAGGACCTGGAGAAAAATCCAAACGACCACAAGGATTTGTTGTTTTTACATCGGGAAAGAAAGGGTTAATTCCAACGGCGTGCAGAGCAACGGCGATTACAGTAGAAGGGCCATTCCCGTATCGCAAGTTCTCACTCGTGACACCATAGTTCACTCTTTATTCGAAGTCTTGCAACTAAACCGTTGTACTGAATGTAATATTTCTAAGTTAATTTTGGCACAAAGAACCCCGTAAAATGTTTTAAAAGAGCATAAAACAGCACACGGAGCACGATTACTTATTCATGACTATTCATGACTAAATGGAAGAGACTGTGGGTCGTTAAAGTTGATGTGTGCATGCGTAGTTTGCCAAAAAAACTCCATTCAAATGCAAATTAGGTGAAGAAACTAAATGTTAGATATGTTACACATATCGTTAATATATTTGATTACAAGAAATGAAAAACAATGTGCCTTAGATGAGTCTCAATGTGAATTTGGGAATCAGTGTTACAATTATTACAAATGTATTAACCAATAACTTCAATTATTCAAAGATAAACATTCTCAACAGGAACCCTAAGGCAGAGATATCCCTCATTACAATGCTGCTGCTGATTTGGAAGCAGTGGTACACAGCTTCACGCACTGCACTACAAACTGAGCAATCGGGGTTTGATTCCTGGCCATGGACAGCATGATTGGTAAGAGGCATCTGAACATGCTTTGGGCCTTCCTTGGGTACACTCATCCTTAAATAAGTACCTTGGATTGTTTACAGAAACCAAACCATGTGCAACGTATCCACATCACCTGTTTAAATCGGTGTCAATTAGGGGAGATTTTCTCTAAAGATATTTGACCCAACTCGCCACTCGGTTCACCTGCGTGCGAACACCGGACCTGTGGAGACAAAAGCTGCTCCAAGTGGTTTTTGCTGGCCCACACCGTACCCATGTGTGCTGTGCCTGCTTAGCTCATTTGCTCATGACACTTGCCCACATGGTACGAAGGGCTAAGCTTGGACTATGACTTGTGTGCATGCAAATCGACACATTTATTTCAAACTCAAGTAGCCTTTGACATGACGTTTTGTTGGAACAGGACAAAAGTGAATCATTATTTTAATATAAATCTAGGGATGAAGCATTTTCTGGTTTCCACTCTGACATGAGGAGGAGGAGGATTTGTAGTCGTGTCATGGGAGAACTATGCATGAGTGTGAGGGATGATTTCATGCGGATGGCTCCGAACCATGTCCGGTGAAAAGTTCCATGGGAACGCAGTGTTTGACGTGCGTTAAAACATAAGCGTATGCGGAGGTCAGTCGCAAGACCAACAAGCAGATAATCTTAAGTGACTCATTCCAAGGAGTTTGTGAAATTCCTTGAATTTGCTCACTTGACTTATGAACCTGCATTTACGAAAGCAACATGAAGCAGGAACGTGACTGATGGAAATACCTCGCATTAAAAAATGGGTTTGCTCTCTTCGCCGTACAGTTTGAAAGCCAGTAGACTGTGTGCAAAAATTTGGTTCAACTGGGTTAACTATTTAATTGTAGTTTCAATTTCCTCCGAGAGGGACCAACTGGAAGCCCTTGTTACAGCACCGCGCAGTGCTCAGCTGTTGTCTGGCTCATAAAGTATGCGCCCAATCAGTACACTTGGTTGTATTATTTCAGCATGTTCTATACTCAAGCATCCCCAAATCAGAATTTGTTCCACACGCGGGACACAGACAAAATGAAGCAATTTGCATTCAATTCCACACCGCTTCCCCGGCTTTAATTATTGATCAGGGTAATGGGCGTGCTTGGCACACAGCTGGCAGCAGCTGAAACTGATCAAAATCACAGTAGGACACCCGCCAATGCTTCACATTTAAATATCCCAGGCAGTTCACAACCATTAACGTGCTGCTGTTTAGCATTCCCAGCCAGGGAAATTGAAAGTCACGAATAATATATAAATACAGTACACGGATCGGTTCCAAATATTCTTGAGCAGCACTGGCTATGGTCACAAACCACAACATCGACGGACAGCCATGCTGGGCGCAGTTTGCCTGGCAAAGGTCGTAGCCATGCTGAATGGGTGCAACGTAGTACACTCACATGGCAGGCAATTGTGCCGGACAACAACAAACATGGCCGCACACAAAGACGGGCACACGTGGCTGCGTACGGGAAAAATAACCCGCGAGATGGTGAGAAAGATTGGCAATACACCACCCTCTGGTTTTGCAGCAGTTATTTCTGTGACTGACTACATACACCCGCAAGTTACTGCAAGGACCATATAAAAAAAATTCACGAAGAATAAAGTGGTGTGTGTGTGGACTGACAGCTCACGGCGGTGATTCAAGTTACAACTCCCACCCGGGATCAGTTCACCAACAAATGTGATGTGCGTCAAGGTGCACGGTTTGTTTTGACATCTCACCACCGTATTATATTCTGGTCATGTTCTCGAGGTTCCTAAGTTACCGTACGTGTCTTTGTTTGACCAGTGTGGGGAGTGGTAGTGCAGTGGTTAGCATGCATGCTCACGGCCAACATATGTGACAAATATCTGAGCCTGTCATGCCCCTCCCCCCCCCCACCAAGGTCAACTCACCCTTAAATGAGTGTCTAATCTGGCGTGTAAACATAAAGAGTTAGGAGAAAATGGTGGCCGGGCGTGGTCCGAGCCACACCACGCACTCGTGTGCCGTGTTGCCCTTCATAGGTGCTCGCTAACAGCACTTGCCCCAACAGCCTGTTAAATCTATTGGGATACTGTCATTGCACAATTCCATTTTTTTGCATTTATCCTGGAGATCCTCGCTGAGTCTCAATATTCTCTTTCAGGTCCTCCAAATTGATTTTTGGCATATTCCCTCGTAATGAGTGGGAGCATAATGTTTGTTATATGCACACATTAACATTTAATTACACATCATACACTCTACTTTAGTCTACATTACGTGCGTTCTCTAGTTACAGCTCTTGCCGTGACATCCTATGGCGATAACTGGAGGAGGAAATTGAACGAAATATCCCACTAAGCTGCCCACAGTAGCTACAGAATCCTCCCTGTTTATAGCCCCCCCCATAGACGCAGAGGCTCTCTGCAGATCACTGATAACAGTTATCTTGGCTCCATGACTTATCCTGACAAATGCATAAAGGGCAGCGTGTAGTTCTTATTGGAAATTTAAATCAGGCTCCTCTGACAGCACAAAGCACGGAGCAAAGACTGAACAAAGCTTTCATGTAATAGTTGAATTCACATGTTAATTTTGAATTGGTTTCAATTATCATCTTTCTCTCTGTTATCACTTTAGCAACATGTGCGACTTTAGAAAACATCTTTCTGGACGTGTTAAAATGGCCATTACGATCCCAAAACAATGCACTGGAACACGATTTAAAATGGATATGGACCACACGGCGTTCAACTCAAACATTTCACTGAAACTAGGACGGACATAAATTGTGCCATCTCTGCCATAAGACGGGGCCCAGGATGAAGGGCTCCCCCTTAACACCCGAAGCGTTGCACCGATAAGTAGGGTGCAAAATAAGTTCAACATACATACTAAAAACTCAACTATTTTTACGTTACCAGGTAAGGCCCATTGCGCTGTTTAGCTCTTTTGCAGAAGCAACCTGGCCACAGATGACTGCTTTACAAAAGTGGCTTATCAAGTGGAAATTTACAGCAGCCAAATACTCTAAACCAACGTTGATTCGAAATGTGGAGGGAAAAGACGGAGGACCCGGAGAAAAATCCACGCAACCACGGCGAGAACATGCAGACTACAAATACACAGGTGTCAGGGTCAGGATCGAACCAACGGCCTCCTACATACCAGGCGAGGCAGTTAACACCACTCTACAAATAAATGCTCGACCGACCAACGAGCGGCCGGCGTTCTGCCGATCGCCAGCGTACCTGGCGGCGTGTAGGCGTCTACAGCGGCTTGCACGGCAAACGAGCGGCGCTTGGAAGGCATGGGCATGGGCATCTTCTTCTCCTTGTGCTTGGCAAGTGCGGCTTGAACGGCTTCTGTGTGAACGTCTGAAAAAAAACAAAGACAAAGATCCCCCGTCTACCCTTAACAGACTGTAGGGGCAAGTGCTGTTAGCGAGCACCTATGAATGCGGGGCACGGCACGCGAGCAGGTGGGTGGCCAACACCACGACCGGCCGCTTTTGTCTCCCTCGTGGCCATGTTTACACATCGCACCAGGTACTTATTTGAGGCCGAGTCGACCTAGGGGAGGCCCAGGAGTGGTTCAAATACTCGTCACTGGTGTTGGAGCTGGGCGGTAATCGAACCCGGGTCGCCAGGTTCATAGCGCAGCGAGCTAACCGCTACACTACTGCTCTCCACATGACCGTACGGACACGCGTACGCACACATACACAGCGGCACGCGGCACCGCGACGTGCAATAGAATCGTCCGCACGACGATAGGGTCATTCGCACAGCATGCTGGGGTAGCCGGTGTGTGCTTCTAATTTAGGGTCACGAAGAGATCATGGGTGATACACATGTGATGATGGGGCAGTACAGGATGTAGGTTGATGACATCTCTTTGTAAAGTTTTCCCATCACATGCACGGGTTTTCCATTCATAATCACGGGGTTTCTCCAAGCACTCTGGTTACATCCCTTTCCCCACACAGCAACAACAAAAAAACACAAACCAATGTGGGCCAAACATTGTTTCGTAGAAAGTGTATCTAACATTCGGTTAGGATTATTTTGTACAAATGTTCACAAATTCCCCCCGTCGCGTATCGGTGAACAGCTACAAAAGCAACTTGCTCCGATGATCAAGTCGTTTAACACGGATGTTTAAATTAATTCTTCTCAGCATTGCATTTGGCCGAAAAAGCTGCTGAAATCCGTGAGAACGGGAGATGTGAATGGGGGAAGGAGTGGAGGCTGTGCCGGGGCTTTGTGCGACAGAAAGACTTGGCTCCAGGCCCCGGGGACTCGGCAAACGCTTCTGTAAGCCAATAGGAATGAAAATGGAAATATGCTTTTAACCTTCCACGAATGAAATAGACAGAAAGGAGCTGCAATGATGGATGTCTGTCTGCATCTCAGAGAATGTGTTTTTTTTTAACAAAGGACAAATGGATTTCAAATACTTATGCACTTTTTTGGCACTCGCGGCTAAACCGACGCAGACGGGGCATGTTTCAGCCAGGGCCTGCGGTGGAGAACATGAGATCATCTGAATTTTTTCCCACCGACCGGTCTCTTAATCCTTACGTTGCAATCTTGCCACCACAATGTGGGGAAAAGTGAAACTGTTCCAGGTTTCCCAATGCTCTATATCCAAGGGCTATCACCAAGTCATCGACGCCTAAGAGCGTTAAATGGCGAATGGAGTCGGCTTTTGATGACTGTGCCAAAAGAGGAGCCAACTCGACACTGTTTTAACCAAAAACGCAGGCAGATTTGCACAATGCCTTAAAAGCCGTTAATTTAAAAACTGAAGCTCACCTGCATTAATGTCTGGAAACTGCAATGGTAAAGCAATGACCCACATCGAATCGTATTTAATGCAGCCTCTGTCTGGTAAGCAAAGCGCTCCCAGTTTGGAGTCGGTCCAATTTTTCCCCTGCACTTCCGATGAGCACGGTTGGCTACGTACCGTGCGAAAGAAGTTCTACGTACACACGTACAGTCGGCAGCCACTCCACATAGAACAAGTAATCAAGGCAATAACAACTGCTAATCTAACTCAATCACACAAGAACAAATTTAACCCAGTGTATTAAATTTTAAAAAAAAGCTCAATGGATTTGCCGAGTCTGCCTGCTACACACTGCGGCCTGACCCTTATTCAGTGAGTATTCGGAAAAATGTAAACCTCTAATAATCGGCTTAGTCCATGTTATTCATTATTTAACGTATCTTCACAGTAACAGAGAGCAGCGAGTGGGCCGCCGTTGTAACGTGTGCACTGAAGACATCCCTTTCACAAATTAAGCCTCGGAATTCACACGGCGCAATTTGTGGAGGCAACATTCGTGCACGCGGCACGGGCAGAAGCACCGGCGGTGCATTGAGCCTTCCCCCACGTCTCCAAGCCGTAGCCACCAATGAATACATTCTCAGCTATATTTAATCACTGTGTTTAATCACTGTTGGTGTCATGGATTCTCCGAGTGACTGCATGACCAGATGCACTCTCGGAGCACTCCGAGTGCATCTGATACGAGGGAGACGACATTAATTCCTACCTGGGCACAGTCAGCGTGTGCATTAACCTGGAATGTGCTAACTGGAAAAGCCTGCTGAGTGTTTTATAAAAAAAAAACGCGCTTTGGTCACGAACGAGTTTCCAGAAGAACATTGCAAACTTTGCTTCCCTTATAATCTTTGAAATTGACTTGAACGGGAGGCGGTCGATCGTACTGCGTATATGTGCGAGCATACTAGAGCTTGTTATCCACTGATTTATTTACATCCCGATACCAGGCGAGAGGTCAAGTGAATTACAATATACGGAGTCACCAGGAACTTAAATAGTGTGACGTTCAAGTGCCTGCATGTTTCGCCTGTCAGTTGAGCTATTTAGCCAGGTGTTGCACGTTGACACTGATGCCTACAGCATCGTGTAGAATACGGACTTATGAGGGCTTTCGGGAATGTCAACTTACCGCTTGACATGAGTAATGGTGGCAATAGCGTGTCTCTACATGTTTAGCCGTTTTCATATTTTAAATGATACGGCAACTGTTATTGTGCAGGTGACACCTGTAATGCCTATAAATGTGACCGCGTGGTTCAAGAGGCTAATGCTGAGCCAGCACTGTTGAAATCCTCCCATTTGAAATTGTAAACTAAAACGAAACTGTGTTTTATTTTATTTTACCAGGTAAGGCCCACTGAGCTAGCAAGCTCTTTTTTAGGAGCAGCCTGGCCACATGATAGCACAATGAAGTGGGTTTTCACTGTGAAAATGTATAGCAGCCAAATACTCTGAACGCATGCTGATTCTAAATAGAGTGAAAAAAACGGGGGACCCAGAGAAAAATCCACGCGACCACGGGGAGAGACACATTTAAACTCCAAATATACAGCAGGTGTCAGGGTCGGGATCGAACCCACAACCTCCTGTATATCAGGTGTGGTAGTTAACATCTCGCCACCGAGGCACACCTCACAGTTCGATACAATTATGTTGATGGTCCCTGCCCAGTCATCAGTGACTGAATGAAAATCAACACAAGCGAAACTTTGGCTTCCAAACAAAATGTCTATGAGCTGCTGACAAATCTTTTTCAAAAGCTATATAGGAATGAATACCATCTGGTTTCTGGAAAAGAAGGATCCAGTTGGGGATGGTATAATCTTCTGGGAATGTTCCTTGGCAAAGATCGTTCTCCACTGGCAGGATGTAGTGACTGCAATGGAAGCATTTCTTCACCATTTCGCTCGATTCAAAACCCTCAACTGGAACATTGGGTGGAAGGCCTTCTCACGACCCACCTGTCCGTTGTTTCACGTTACCTTAAACACAACACTATCATCTAGGCGAAATGGACCTCGTTAATTTTAATCCAGATTTGGTCTGTAGAACTAAATGCCAAACACTGGTACTGAGCTCTAAAACATATTGCCGTATGTAAGAATAGAATTGGAATGCAGCCGGCATTAAATAAAACCTACGCGGTCCAAATAGTCCAAGTTGTTGGCGTAGGAATTTGATACTTGAGTGAAAATTACAGAATTGTGTATGTGCACGTTTTTAATTGGGTGTCCGTCTTTGGTGCGCGATGTTTGTTCGTGCTCGGGGGATGACAGCACCGGGCCTCTCTGGTGGCCGTGCATTCATCTCAGCATGACTGCCGGGAGTAGAGCCCTCCAATCGAGCCGAGAGCGAACATCACGGGCTCTGAAGCAGCAGATGCACAGCCGGAAATACTTCCGACAGCATCACACAACATCACAAGGCCCCCTGACTTATGTTAAACAACAACAGCCACAATCTAAAATAAACAATGCATCATCAATGCATGAGATTTCATTCACATTCCAGGCAGACTGTTTGTTTTCATAATATTTACTTACAGCCAGAAGATAAAAAAATAGCTTTCTCCTTCGAATAAAATGTTTACTTTTTAAAGTGAATCCAAATTTCAATAACTGAGCAGGGGGGGGGGGGGGGGGGGGGGTTCTTCATCTATGTGCAATGAAGACCACAGCCGAAAACGTTACCTGTTAAAATGTCTCCCTTGAATGCAGTATTAGTGCAGAGCGTGATAAGGTTTTTTTTTTATACGTTTGCGGTGTGAACGTACGGTTGTGTTCAATGCGTGCGTCAGCGCGACACAGTTCAGCCAACTCAAGCTACGAAGCGAAACACGGCCGGGATGATCGGGCTGAGCGGGCACAGGAAGGAGGAGGGTATCGACGCCTGCACGGTGCCACTGTGCCACGTCAGCTGCCCTTTTGTCCCTCAATAAACACTAAACGTTGAATGCAGTTTAACAAAACAAAAAAAAACTTTAAAACATTCTCTTCAACATTCTCACTGTAATCATTGCAAGAATTTAAAAGAAGAGAGCACCCATGTATTGTAACATGCTCTAAGAACGAGGAGGGGAGGGTCTGAACTTGGCGTCGCAAGCTGTGCATGGGACTAAAAGGCGCCGCTCTTTTGTGCTGTAACCGTGCATGCGCAGCGCTCATTACTCATGGAAGTGGGACAGCTGGCACTCCGTGCAAAACAATGAGACCGGCCGGCCTGCGGGTCTCCCCCCCCCCAAGGACACACACACACACACCTAACTGCGCCTCCTCGGTCACATTGGAATTCATCAGGATGAGCCTTAAACAGGCAGCAGCAACCAGATGACAACTATTCTAAAGGGACCTTGTGCAAATCTGTGTGGGGGACTAAACCCGACTCGTATAAACGACGCATAAGCGAAGGACTCATGATATTTAGCATCTTCTGGTAATACGCGTGAAAGTCTAACACTTACAGGATGCTCCCTTAAATTATGTATTATTATTTTTTTACAAGTGATGGAAACGTAACACTTTCTCCTTTTGCTGGGTAGCTCCATTGAGCTGCTAACAGCACGCTTAAAGGAGGGATTCTACCGTTGATTGTACAGAAACGTTACTCTTGTTGTCGGGTTGCTGCAAGTGGAGATGATTGATGATTCAGGGCCAAGCAGGTCAGCATAGTAGACGTGGCCACGCGCGTGATGATGTCAGCACAATCCACAATCAACCCCCACCTACCGAGCGCTGGATTATTGCACATGCACTACCAAGTCTGGCTTTCGAATGATGACATCACCGAGTCTTTAACAACCACTTCACAGCAAACGGCGCCGTAATTCCCTCCGTAGAATTTACTGGGCGGCCGGCGGGTTTCAAACTGGCGACGCCGTGTGAACTGGCTCAGTGTTGACGACTAGGCAACAAGCACACGGTGGTGGTGGTGGTCGATCAACCGTGCAGCTCAACCTCCTTCCTTACACTCCATGACCAAGACAAACCCAGAGAAACAAGGCTGCGTGGTAATTGGGGTACACAAAGACGTATGTTTACAGCTGGGTTTAAAATGTTTGGTAAACAGACACTGTTGACCCCAGACTGCCAAATTGGGAGCTCATTGACAAAGTATACACTTAAGTCAATGCTAAAAGACAGCTAAATAATTGAGTCATTTTACAGGTTAAGGTGATTGATTTAGAGACATTTTCCTCTTACATATTTTATAGTATAAAAATTATACTGGTTTAAATAATAAACGTTAGAAATAGTAAAACTATGACCAAGGTTCTTTTGCATATGCACAAATGTTACCTTTTGAAATGCCCTACATGAAATAGAAAAAAAAACCTCTTGTTTCTTAAATCGTAAGTGATTTATTAGTGTGCCTCTCTTACCAGGAATGCATTTAACAATGCTAAGTTTGGTAAGAGTGCCTACATTACACTTGCTATCCCTTCCACAGGTCCATGTTACGGCACCGGAACCTGTATTTATTTATTTACATACATGTTTAATTTGTCGAGGCTTGGCTCTGGCTCAGCGTCTCACACGACTCAGCTCAGGCTTGAGCCACTTGAGCGGCTCAGCCATGGCCTGGCTCAGGCTTGTCAAGGGAATCCTGAGCGTGGCTGGGACTAATGCTCAGACCCAAAGCATGATCGAGCGTGGTCCAAGCATGGCCCTGAGGCGATCCCCCAGCAACTGTAAACTATTTAAACTGTTTTTATTTTACCAGGTAAGGCCCGCAGACCTATGTAGCTCTTTTTCAGAAGTGACTTGGACATCACAAATCATAGCTCAACGAAGCGGATTATCATCACGTGGAAATGTATAGCAGCCAAATACTCTAAAGCCGCGGGGAGAACACGCACGACGTTTCATCAGTAATTACAACCACTGGCAGAGCCAGTGGGGGCGGTGGGGTGACACGTTGCCCCCCCAATGATCCGATCGAAATCCCTAATTTCGATTGGATCATTGGGGTTTATTAGTAATAAATAGGCATTTTGCGACCCCCACTGCCACTGTGTAGCATATTATTATTACGTGCCAGGGACTCTCTGAGATGATAGGACAATAGTCTGAGTCCATAATTGGCAATAAGTAATGGCAAAGCAGTTATAAGTGACCCAGAATTGTGCGCAGTTGCGTATACAGTACACGACTTCCCTGAAGGCATTCACCTTCAGCGAGCGCGATGCCAATCACACAACGCGGTTCGAATTCGACTCTCGATCGATGGCTGCGCCATCGCCGCACACGCGTCTAATAAAAAGCAAGGGACAAGTCCTTACTGACTAACTCCTATCAATTTGCATTGCTGGAGGGGTTGCCACCCCTACCTTAAAATCCTGGCTCCGCCATTGATTACAACCGGCATCATCAGGCGGCAGACATATTTGTGGAGAAATCCTCCTGGATCGTTCTTTAAATAGACTCCAAATATTGAGCATCAGGGTCAGAATCGAACCCACAACCTTCTGCATACCAGGTGAGGTAGTTAAAATATCGCCACCATGGTGCCCCCTGCGATCCAGCCATGCCATTGTGCGTTCGCTCTTATGTTTAAACCGACGGTCACAGAAACAGGAAATAGAGTCAAAGTGTGCGTTCCAAGCTTATGGACGGGACAAATCTGTCCATGAAACAATCGATGTTAACTTTCCGCGAAGCTGTAATTGTTTTATCGACCACAGTGGAATGATAGTCTGAGTTGGCCTAAAGAAGAATTTGAGCTCGTGCACTTTTGATTGCGAGTCTGATGCCCTGGTGCTACTTGGCTCCTGGCCGGATAACACATTTTTATTAACCAGAAATAAACAGAGTTTGTACCGGTAATCAGATTCCCTTATGTCAGCGGTGACCATGATCACTGTAGGAAGCCCTGATTACACTGCTAAGCAATGTGAAATACAAAAGGATTTCATTATGTTTAAAAAGAAGATTTGTCAAGATCTTCGAATTGAAAATACAATTCATAACACTCAACAGCACCAGAAATTTAAGGAAAATTATCCATGTTTTTTTACAACTGATTACTGTTAGTTTTTTTTTTAATATATACCATCCATGTATCTAATCATTATTCAGAAAGCCTCACCAAGTCTCAAGACTCTTTTTTCAGGAGGGCCCTGCATAGTTTTCAGAGTAGGAGCGAAGCTGCAATGTGTCATCCGGACTTGAGTAATATGCAATAGAATCCTTTTGCCAATACCAGTTCCATTGTATGTTTTTTTTAGCTTTCGGAGGAAATTGGAGAACACAGAGGGGAAGCTAACATACAAACTCCACACCAAAATGCACCCAATTCAGGAATATGGGACACAACAGTCTCCACCGCACCGCCACGCCGCCATGAAAGACAATCACGATTAAGAGAATTTGGCAAATTAAGATTCCTCCACTTTAACACGAGCAGTTGCAACCCTCGAACGTCAATGACAATCACGTGGCCAAAACGCTGTTCGACGAAAAGCACTCGCACTCTGTTCAGAAGCATAGGCTCAGCATCGCCTTTTACAAATTCGTTGCGTCGCGCATGACGCCGAGCTGAAGCATTCGCACAAGTAAAGGCCGCGCGTGCCGCATAACGCTGAGCGCACTTCGCATAACGCATTCGCCGCCAAGGTTCTTAACGGCTTGTACTCTAAAGCAGCAGACTGGAACAAAGCACCGTGCGCGGACGACGTGTGAGGTGCGGGGAGCGAGGGAGCGGGCGCCGTGTGTGCAGCGAGCCTACCCGAGCGATATCTCTCATCGCGAGAGCCCGCGTCCCTCCGGCGATTGTGCTTGGAACCCGATGGGGTAGGGTCGGCCTGCGTCCGAGCCTCTGTCTGCAGTGAGGGGTCTACCCCTGTGGGAGCGGGGGGGGGGGGAGAGGCAAAGGGGATAGGGACAGAGGGGGTGAAGGTAGAGGTGAGGGAGACAGATTAAACTATTGGAGTGCCACAGTGGAGAGAAGTTAACTACCTTGCCTGGTATACAGGAGGTCGTGGGTTTGAACCCAAACCCAAAACCTGATGTATATTTGTAGTTTGCATGTCTCTATACCCGTGGTCGCGAGTATTTTTCTCCGGATCTTCCGATTTTTTCCCTCCACATTTAGAAACATGTATTTAGAGTATTTGACCACAATACATTTCTATGTGATAGGCCACTTCACTGAGCTATTATTTGTGACCAGGTCGCTTCTGAAAAAGAGCTATATAGCTCAGTGGGGTTTACTCAGTGAGCAAAGCCTCACCGAGTCTCAATACTTTTTCAGGATCCAGCTAAAAAATAATATATATTACAAAAGGGGGCCAAGTTTCCACGTGTAATCCCAATAGAGTAAATTGCAAGTGATTTTTTTTTTACATTGGATGGTTGGTCAACACCAGTTACGTTGTTATAAAGATTTGTTTTACTATGGGAAGAAACCAGAGAACCCGGAGGACACCCGAGTAGAACACGGGCACCAAACTCCAAGCAGAAAGGCACCCGTGTTGGGAATCGAACAAAGAGCCTCCTTGCTGCAAGGCACGAGCGTGATGTGACGACCCCCACACAATGGCAAATTTGACGTACAATTTAACTTGGATTTGACGTACAAATTTAACTTGGATTCACAAATTAATTAGAAAAGCTACACTTCAATTACATGAAGCGTAGTAATGCATTTTCAAGGCCAAGTCACATCTTCTTCAGCAGAAACACATGGAGCTCAATACGACAAAATGACTGTATTTGACAGGATGCCTCCATTGCTCAGTCAACAAGTCCGCAATGGCATCATTGCTCTGAAGACAAGATCATTTAAATCCACAATGCTTCCCCCCATTGCTGATGAGACAAACAATATGCAAAACCTGTAATGTATCTTGTTTTGAATTACCACTGTCTTTTATCAGCAAATAATGTTTGATTCGCAAATTATCTGGCAACAAAATCACATCTGTTAGTAATACATGAAAAGGAGGATAATCTACATATACACCTTTATTTTTCAACTTTTAATACCCATGAGATGCTTCAATTATTTGTACATGAACTGACAAATGTAAAAATATGTTTTCGACTACTAATCGTAGCCGGTATATGAACACGATAAGCAAAATAAACCTTCACAACTGTTCCCAATGGATACTTACGTTTTTTGTAGTCCATGTGGTTCAAAAGTACACTCATAATCCGTGGTAGCAAGTGGTCTCAGCGGTCACAAGATAAGCAGTCGCCCTGCTATAGCCGACCCTTGGCCGCTGAAATGCAGCAGCTACTCGACTGATCCCCACCCCCCCTCCCTTGGATCGGCCTCCCGCAACTCCTTAATAACCCGTCCGGCCAGCCGCCCTAGGGCAGCCGCGTCCGCCCAGGCGCTCCTGAAAGCATAGGTGCACCGCAGCTCCCCGGTTCAACTTGTGGGCCGCCCTAGCGCATTCTGCTGTGGGACACAGAAGCAGCTGGTGCCAGACTGGGCTGAGAAGCTACCAGATGGAGGGCGCGTCTGTCTGTGGTTTGTACTCGCTGGGGGAGTGCGTCTAACGCTCGCTAGCTGGCTCGCTCGCCGCACCGCCCAATGTTCCCCACGCCTCTGCGTCAGCTGCTGTTGCTGCTGTTGGTGGTGGTGCATCCCGTGTACTGCGGCTTCCTGCCCGCCCGCCTGCCCGGACACAGGGCAGTGGTGCACTCACTGAGCACTGCAAACAAAGCAAATCCTGTTTGTAAAGGGGGCCCCCATTCCATTGGCTCGCCACCGGACACTAACGCCACCGTGAATACACTGGCTTTCTGGCAGGCTTTTTGCTGGACCACTGATTGGCACACTGCCACACCAAGCTTTTGTTTAAAAAAAAAAGCTATGTTAATTACAGCCAGGAACCATAGACTTTTGAATGATATCAACTTCAAAGGGATTAAAGCAGATTTATAAGCCGATTTAATTGGTCTTCACACAACCACATAAAAACGATCTCACCGTGTAGTGTTGGTTCATAATGAACTGTTCAAAATAACATAAAAATTGAATAATGCCAGTAAACAGTAGCCTAAATATAATCCAATTACAGTTACTGGCGCATTGTGACGAAACAATGTTTGACCCGGACCTGCAACACAATAGACACAACCAGTAAAGCTTGAATGAGCTAATTAGGACACCGTGTGAAGCCAGCCAACAAGTAATGTGAGAATTCTAGACCGGTAAACATGATACTAACCTGGAAAAATATTAAAGAGAAATATTGTTGTAAGCATTACCACATCGCTGGAAGCAATATCCAGAAAAATATATTATAGATGATATGTCAGCTGTAAGCTGTCATGCCAAACTATGAAGTTCTGCTTCTGTCCATACAGCCAGCGGGAATGTTGGAACCCATACATAGTACTCGCATATGGCTTGTGCTGCCCTCAAGAGAGCAGTCATCTACAAACAGCACTGACGTTTTATAAAAAACTACATTACTGTATGGGGATCTGCATGTGGGTGGCAATCTAGGGTTGAAAACATGTTCCACCCAGTGATAGGTTGCAAGGGCCTTGCAATAAATCTATATTGAAAAGGAATTTCTTTAAAACCGTTTTTTTTTGCGTTCAGTTTGTTGTCCTTTCGCGCACCTCCGATTTGCGCGGTTGCTGCATCACAGACGCCCCATTTGTTAATTTGACAGAATCTTAACACAGGTAGCTAGTTGAAATTTAGACACAATGTTAATCCAAATTGCAATGCAGATGCAATACGCAAAAGGGGGCAAAGGTGGCCTGGGTAGGCAGGCAAACGAGAGGACAATGAAGCAAGACGTTTGGGACAGCAGCTACACGAATTTGATGGCACTGTTAAAATGCAGGCATTTAGCCAGCAGCAGATAGAGACTGGCCGCTGATTGTTTAGAACATTTGCAGCCAATGGTGTTTGGCATTCACAATGTATCTGTTCATTATAAAGGACATCTCTGTTCGGAACTTTCATATCAATTCTGCACGACAATTCATTCATGTCAGCAGAAGCGAGGCAGCATCAGTATTGTTGGGAACATTTTGCAGCACACCAGCAAGTGCAATCACATCTTATTTGAAATGCACTTTGTGTGTCCTTTGAGCATATGATGTACTTTGAGCATAAGATGTACTTTGATGCCCTGTCTGCAGTGACATGACTACAATTATGCCCGTCCTGCTGGGTTAACCTTCAGCATCGTTTTCCTGGCCGCAGCAGCAACAGCATGATCAAGGAGTGAGAGCTTCAAATGGCTGTGGCTTATGCTAAGAAGTCTTCCCTTTGGCACCAACAATGCTGGATGCATGACAGCTAATATTTGAATTAGAGCCTTAAAAGTCCTCATTTTGGGAGCCGTACGCACCGGCTAAAACAGTCTTAATGCATCTTAGACACAATTTTAAATATAGAATTAAATATCAGACGGGAACAGTTATTACACCCTGACTGAGCCGAACACATGGCTTGTGATGTAATATTCATCACAAGTATTTGTGTATTTTGGCCAAAATCCACAGGTAGTCAACCACGCCAGTGTATTTTATTCCAGACGGCCATGCTCTGTGAAATATTGTGCCAGTCAACTACACTATTTAGTCTCCATCTATAATGTAAAGACCAAACAACACAATCTTTCAAATCTGGGGTTATAAACTACTGAAGGTGTTTAATATTAGACAGTTTGCAAGTAATAATTAAGTGCTAACAAATGCCAATAAGTTTGTAAATGATTATAAACTCAGATCACAGTGTTCTGAATGCAGCTATCAGTATGCAATTAGAATGTATAGGTTTACATCGACCTATGCGGTAGTAGATGCATTCCAAAATGGGGCATACAAATGCAAAACCACACGAGGCAGCTCTGCCTGCCGAGTAGCACAAACCATGCATAGCAACATGCAGTGTGAATTCAAACCGCATACTGCATAGAGCGATTTTTGAGTAGACAAAGGTAAGTCGCATATACAACGCGAAATGGCACAAACCAAAATCTTGTAATTGCATTTGAGCTGTTCACGTTGCCAATTGGTGGACGATGCAGTGTTGTATTTTGTCTTACTTTGTCTCACAGTGTGCAGAAAGATTTACTGCAGTCGATCTCCACTTTGTGGGGAAACAGCAACTCGTGCCATGCCTTGTGTTTCTCCAACTGGTCTCGACGTGCTCACAATAAAACATCGGAGTGTTTCTATGGGCTGTGCCTTTCAGGGCTGCTATCCCGGAGGCTCACAAGTACCGTGGACACAACGCCTATCTCAACATTAAATTATTCTCCACACAGACACGCGTTCCAGAGCGGCCCTACCCATGCCATCAATCTCAGCCCGGTGTACTTTTCAGTCTGCCGCCTTCCGAGTGAAGCTGATACACGTTTGTGCAAATGACAATGATGAACCATTCCTAGTGAAACATAATATCTAATTTTTTTTGTGGCAGGGTGGTGGCAGTGGTAGTACCTGTGCCTCACAGCAAGGACCTGGGTTCGATACCCGACTGGGGCCACCTTTCTGCGTGTAGTTCATGTCCTCTCCCACTGTGAGAATTTTATTTTATGTTTTATTTTTATTATTTCCCTTCTACGTGACTTTACCGAAAGAACCAAGAATATGAATATTCTCTCCCACGGTTCTGCATGGGTGTCGTCCGGGTTCTCCAGTTTCCTGCTTTAGTTATACAAGACATAGAATGTAAGTTGTTTTGGCCCAAAGATCCTGATGCTGAAAAAATTACCCGCAAATTACTCAATTGGGAGGCCAAAGCAACGACACCCACGGCTGTAACCAGAAAAGTCATGGGAGACTTTTCTGGTTAAACTAGTGTAAATACAATAAATGTATATGTAGGTGAACACTGTACAAATAAAATGGACATTACATTAACGTTTAAGATCGGTCGGTACACTTAAAAAGTCAATAAAAACCAAATGAAAATGTTGCCTCTAGGCTCTTCAAATATTTGCTAGTTAATCAACAACTATGTCATGAAGAAGCTCATGCAGGACAGCTGCTCAGCGATTGGCCTGAGGTGTGGGAAACGGAGCCGTCAGAGTTTCCTTGAAACTCAAATCGTGGAATTTCAGTGTTCTCACGATGGAGTGAGGGTGTTTTAAGTGACTTAGGGCACAGCCCTAGAAGGACGATAAAGTGAGTACCACCGTATTTGTGGGGAAATCAACAGTGGTTGTCCTGTAGATGGACACGGCCACCGCTATGAAGATGTGGAATTTCCACCACTCGCTCTGCAGGGCTGTATAAACGGGGGAAGAACGTCAATGCCTCATTGCGCGTGGTAGCAGGAGAGCACTTCACGACTCAGCCAGGCATCGCAGGTGACCACCGATTACAATTACTACATTGACCATGCGTGATGCAACGTTCATGAGTGTGCTACGTTGTTGAATGAAGTACTGAAATCACATTCAAGGAAGAACTCGCTTGGTACGACCCCCCCCGTAGAACTCGGATTCGTTCTCGGGATTTTTTTTGTCCCGGAGATATGCTTTAGTAAAAAAAGGACTTAAGAAAATAAAATAGGAATCATACAAAGTCTTTACGAGCGAGAACACGTAGCAGTGCTGGACGAGGAAACATACCCGCCCCCCCATCATTGGCTCAACCAATGAAAAACGACGATTCGATTATAATCTAACGTAATCGTGACCCCGGATCTGTCATCATTAAAATTGAAATTATCTGTGATAATTTCAAATGAATGCGATTCGTTTAGCCAGGTGGGGGAACTCTAGGAGACGAATATAGTCTCAGGCTCCACCTAAAATAAACCTCACCACAGAATTAAAAGATGCTACAAAAATCTTTAACAACGTTCATTGAAGCTCTGTCATTCCCGACAGGTCTGTTCCTTTCACCTGAAGAAGGCCACTTGTGTTGTGGCCGAAACGTCGTGGGAATTTTATTGGGTTATTTTATTTTATTAATTTATTATTTTATTCTCATTCTACGTGGTGGTGACTTTACCGAAAGAACCAAAGAAGACTCACCACAGAAGTTTAGACTGAGGGCATCGTTAAGATCACACGGAGGTCCTGGAGCTCCTCTTTGAGAATGACCCCAGATTGGGAGCGCAGCAGCTCCAACCTCTTCTCCCGCTGCTGCCTTGTATACGTACAATAAACTGCGCTCGTGATTACAGTACAGAAATATTACTGATGTTATTATAATAGATTATTGTTTATTAAAATAATGTTTACCATCTGTGTTATTATCATTAGCGCCATTACCGATTGCCCAAAGAAGCCCACATATTGCTCATACGGAGAAATAACGCTGTCAGGAACGCATCCCCATATACGCAATGGAATAATGACCCATCTTCATCGCCAATTCGAATATTGCTCACTACTCCAGGAACGCATCTTGAGCGCTAAAGCGAGGTCTGCCAAGTATAAAAAGTGCATGTTGATATCGAATCGAGCTATTTACCAAGGAATAAATACAAGGTCTTGATATCAGGGTAAAATGAAGATACCCAAGGTGCGTGAACGTTTAGTGAACGCGGCACCTGCTGCTGTTCGCGAGCGTGACGTCACTCTCGCTAAATATTATTTTTATTTACTCTGCTTGTTAACCCAGGAAAGCCTCACACGGGAGTCCCAAGAGATTTTTTTTTTTCGGTAGGGCCCTGCCAAGTTTTCAAAGCAGGAGTTGATGTTGTTGCTGTGTAATCCCATTTGAGTAATTTACAGGGTAACTTTTCAGCACTGCAATATTTGTTTGACCAATGCCACGTTACCACGTGTATTGTTATAGCGAATATGAAGTCATGCCCTCCAAAGTTTCCACATGACCTTCTCGGCCTATTGAAAACTAAGAAACTGTCAATGTGACCCACGCTCAAAAATTATTTCATATCCCTGTTCTAAATCATGATTCAGCATTTACAAAGCTAAAGAAAAAACTGATAGATTTAAATATTACAGTCTATTAATGTGTATATGCGCGTGTGTGCAGTAGTCGAGCGGTTAGCGTGCTGCGCTATGAACCCGGTGAGCCGAGTTCGATTCCCGCTCACGGGCAACAACAGTGATGATTATCTGAACTGGTCCTGGGCCTCCCCTTGGTCAACTTAGGCTCAAATAAGTACCTGGTGTGATGTGTAAAATCAACACTCAGGACACGAAGGCAGCGGGGTGTAATTATGGCTCCCCACCATGTCGTGTGCCGTGCGAGCCTTCATAGGTGCTCGCTAAAAGCACTTGCCCCAAAATACTGTTAGGCCTACATGGGGGATCTTTGTCTTTGTAAAGTTCTTAAATCAACGTGCACAAAGTGCTTTCCTGGAAGAAAAAAAACTTTCCCAGGAATAAAAAAAACCAGAGGCCATATGTTTGAAGCCGTAAAAGACTTCGTGTAATTCTTATGACAACCATTAGGTTGTGTTTAAAAACAGAGAACGAAGGAAAAATCACCCGGCTATTAAAATTTTCCAGCCTCAATCCATGCCACGTGTAAAAGCAGATAGATTAACCTCTATTTTTCTTTCGCATAAAAACATACAAGAGGAAATTACGAGGTCACAATAAGACTTTATGCCCAAAAGCTCAAGCATTATCATCAGAAGAAGCAGCCATGATCTATCCACTGCAGGGTGAAGGCCTCCCCATAAAGCATTGTCAACCCCCCTATGATGTTTGTGAGGCTATAATTAATCTCACCTCTCTGCACATGGGCTAATCTCATTGCTCCTACTCCACGATCATCGCATTCTGGGATGTGTTCCCTCGCTTCGCTACAATGATTTGAAGAAAGTATCATAAAAACTGAGTGACAGAGTTTTAGCAGCCTGGCGAGAGATATGCATGTTGAACTTTTTTCGCACCATAGGCAGCTAACCACGCTAATCAGAGGTGCGGGAGGGGGGAATGACAACAAACTAAACACGAGAAAATATTACTCTTTCAAAGGCGATTTTGGGTGGCAGCGTGGCGCAGTGTTAACACTTGTGCCTCAAGAAAAGTACCTGGGTTCAATTCCTGTGCCTTTTTTGTGTTAAGTTTGTTTGCTTTCCCTCTGTTCTGTATGGGTTCTTTGATTTCCTCCCATGGCAGATAAAAATAAACACAGAATGACCCCGGTATTTGGCCAAACATACATCCAATTTACTCAATAGGAATTACACTTAAAAACATCCCCACACCCCCCCTCCCCCCTTCTGCAAAAAATCTGCCAGGATCCTCCTGAAAAAGTGCTGAGACAAGGCTGATCATGGGTAAACAAGTAAAATAATAATTTAAAAAAACCGAGAAATAAGATGCCGCAGATGAGATGAGGGGGGGTGATCTAGAAATGACGCCTGGAGGGCGAAGTATTTATTTGTACAATGATGTGGCTCCAGAAACGACTTCTGGGACGGCTACCATAGACGGAAGGTGAAGTGAGTCTCTGAGCTTATAGAGAGAGTCGGCGGCGGGGGGGGGGGGGGGCGAAGGGCATAGAGAAGTAGTAACTAGAATGTTTTATCTCATTCCTTTAATCTTATCAGTACACAGGCGATAAATTCCTCAGAGCACAATAATAAATGATGCAATTGCCTGGCTGGGATGTGATGCTTGGGGAGGAGGGGTTGGCTCGTTTGAGGTGCCGATTACCACCCCCCCCCCCCCCAGGAGGACGAGTCATTTTGTAATGTTAGAAAGTTTTTAAGGTTGTAGGGGACGTAGGCTGCGGCGTGAAAACCGTGCAGGAGAAGTGTATAATGAATGAGGATGGGGCAACGTCAGTGCCACGTTGCCATGACCAAACGCACAACGTGAAATCAATGTCTTCATAAAGCAAAACGCACACACACAGCGTGCAACAAATGCGTTACTGACACAAAACACACGTGACATCAATGACTTACTGACAGAAAACACACAATGTGGAAATCAATACCTTACGAACACAAATCGAACTAATACACAACGTGAAACACACGCCTTACTGACGCACAACCAACTTATCCGCAACATGAAACCCGCGTCTTACTCGCACGGGGTAGACTAGTGGCGTGGACTCGTTACCTCTCTGTGTACTGTGGCCTCGCGAACCTCGTTGGAAGTAGGCAAGGAGAGGGCGGGGGGGGGGAGGTAGCGGTGTTGACTCGGAGACCGCCGTACAAAACGCGTTGGGAGGACCACTCGCTGGGTTAAGTCACGGATTCATCAGTAAACATAAATACCGATGGCAAGTGTAATGAATGTTCAGACGGGAACAAAAACGCGCATTTAAAATACGTTCAGGAAGTAAGACGTGGCAGAGAAGTGCTTGGCAGTACTGGACGCGTATTGCACTGCAAGTGCGGTGTGTAACGAGACGTTCAGGCGCGCGCGCGTTTGTTTTGAACGAACCTTGCACTTGTGGGATGTAAGGCGACAGCAGCTTGGCCCTCTTTTTCTCGTAACCCTTCTGCGTGATGTCACCTGCCGAAGAAGGGAAAAAGCTGCGTGAGATGCGGCGGCGGCGGCGGCGGCGGCGGCGGCTCAGGCGTTGTGAAAGTTGTTCGTGATCGTTGCCTCCGGAGGGACTCGCCCACTCTCGAGGCGAGCAAAAACCCACACCGGCTGAAACATTACGCGGCGAGTGGGAAATACCGTCGAAAATCGAGCCCAGCTACAAGGATATCGACTGCCGTGACTTAGATCACATCGGTGTATGCGGCGAATGAGATTTAAACGATCGAGTCAGGCGATGAGGGCCTGATCCGGATTGAAGACTTAGCAACACCCATTCAAATCTACAAACCCCCTCCCCCCCGCCCCCCCCCCCCGTGCGGTTTAAGCATTTTACACATAGCACGTATAACACACGATAATCACGCGCGTCGCACAGAGTATTAGTATGTAAATAATCAGACGTATACATCGCCCTCACGTATCTATTTCTCCAGACACAAAAGTATTTTTTTTTACACAACCCATCGGCCCCCAAAGCCTTCTGCGAGTGCAAACTCTCAGCAGCACCGATTCAATGCACATGCCAAATGCAGTCCCGAGTGTTGTTCGTATTGAATCAATGCTGCTGAAATAGTATGCAGTCTTCCGTTGGGGCTCATGGGTTGTGTAAACATACTACTTTTTTGTTTTAAGGTGCGAAGGAGACACGATACGTGAACGAGACGTATTATTTGCCGATCTCCAAACAGCAGAGGTCACTTTCTTTCTCGACGTACGGCAGCATCATTCGACATCCCTGAGAAGCCCGGCCCGTCCAGACGGTGCTGGGAGACCACAAGCAGAGCAACCACCACCGCCACCGCCACCACCACCGCCACCACCACCACTGCGGTGCAGGGAGGCGTGCGGTGCCTCCCGCGCCACACGCAGCCTGCACTGCTGCCAGACCCACGCGGATCCTCCCTCCTCCTTCTCATCCCCTGGGTGACCCGCCCCCCCCCCCCGTGGCCCAGCCAATCGCATCCAGCAAATCTCAAGCCCGTTTAAAGGGACAAGCATGCACCGAGGTGCCACACCACCCCAGCCACCCCTCCACGCCCCTCAGAGCATATGCGCTTCTGACACTCCCTTCCCATCCCGGTCTGTCCCGCCCCCTACAGCAGAGTGTACCGGGCCAAGTGACAGACAGACAGACAGCCATTTACCACTCAGTGTGAGGG